TGCCACAGAACTTAAAGATTAATGCGCACGAAAGAGACTGATAGAATTTTATCCTTAGGTCGAATGGCTAATTTAGTAGCTATTCCTGAAATGAAATGTTCCGTTAGTCTAATAACGACACCGCACACAGTTTCTTGCAATTTTATTATTTTCAAATCATATTTACATAACTCATATCCTTATTATGAACGCAAGACCCAAATACGCAAAAACGAGGCGCTGTCCTAGATCAGTATGTGTTTGAACAATCGAAATTAGTTTCCTAAAATGGAAAAAGGTGGGGTTAGTATCCAGTTCCTGAAATCAAAATGTTTTGTTAGTTAAGTTTTGAAAAGATTAGCTAAACCAGCTATCTTACTGTAGTTAAGGAGAAAAGAGACACAACACACAGGCTTTTTTATTAATTTTATTTCTTTTGCAATTATTGTTACACAGTTTCTATACTACTATTTAACTATGACACAGACCTAAAGCGCTCCTACGCGAAAAATTTAGAGTCCAAGTAAGCCGAGGAATGTTCCTGTGTCTAAAAATCTTGACACCGCGAAAGGAACACCCCAGGGTCCCCCAGACGGTACGTAAGGATCACTTGTCAGCTTGCTTTCGAAATTAGACGTCGATACCAAGACTTCAAGTGTCCATAACATAGAAAGAGACGAATCCGATGTCGAAAACAATGCCGGAAGAGTTCGAAATAGTAAATTGCGAAGTTTCGAATCGAACATTGTAGACCGAAAACGTTGGTTTAGAAGATAACACCTGCCCCCAAACATTGCTTTTTTAATCTTTACGATACATGTAATGTAGGTCTGTGACACGGAAAACAACTTCCGGCGTTTATACAATGATAGGGGCGTTTGTGTTATCTTCCGGTGTGATACAACTTCCCGGTGGAATGTAATGACCTGAGTACCGGCCGGCCAATTCGCCATTCGCACATCCCCCACAATACACCTTGTTTGCCCCCACAAAACTTTGCATAACTTTTGTTTTATGTATACACTAGTCGTAACAGTGGTCCCGAGAGAAATAAAAGACAATGCCTGTGCAAAATTGAGGGGGGCAAACAAGGTGTATTAAGGGAAATGTGAAAATGGCGAATACGGAGCTTATGCAAAGGTGTTTCTGAGCAACTTACATCAACCGGAAGTGGGCATTTTCATTTCTCTGGCAGCGCTTTCGCCCACACTTCTGAGTATCATCTCTATTATTGTCAACACTCTAAGTAATGCAAATTTAGTAGCGTCAAGACATATGAAAATGGAAATGGCCTCACTTCCGGTTGACCTACGTCGCTCAACAACACTCGTGCTTAAGCTCCCTGATAGCTCGTTATCACGATGACGCCAAATGAATACAACTACAAAGCACTCTTATATTACCCTATGTTCATTTTCTTCCTTCATTTTATTCAAATTTTAACTCATTGGCTTAAGAGACTTAGTGTACCTTAACACTAACGTGACTAACTACTCTAGTCCACATATGACGCCGTCGATCTTTGGTCGCCTTTCTTCGGCTGGTCGGCCAGCACGATACCTTTCCACTGATGACGAATCTTCCCGGATGTGTTGTTGTACATTTCGGCGGTTTTTCATATATTATGAAGTCTACCTACAACTACAATTTGTAGACGATAATAGCACTATTGCCTGCGAGGTGCAATGCAGGACTTTAGCAGAGCAGACCGTTACTGCAAGGCAAAATATACAACAAAGAGACAACCATAGTAGACTATGCGTCTCAGTGTCAATCCTGCCATAGCGATAAGAACCTCTTCTGCACTAGCTAAGTTTATTTACTACGGTCCGGTCCATTACAAGGACTTAGTTGTCCTTGTAGTACTTGCGTCAGGTTGATTGGAAGACGGTCCACGTCAACAAATTGGGCGTTTGATATGGTGTGTGCATTGTCCCATTGCTGCGAGATGCGTCCGCTCACTGGCAAACTTGGTGATGTAAGCTACTACCTCTCTTTTTGGGGGGAGACTCCTCAGGACAAAGCAGACTACTGAAGGTAATTTCAAGCCGCATACAGTGCAATACCTTAATCAGTTTCCGATAACCGAAGTCAAATAGTTATACAGTTCAGTAGCGCGACCAATTACAAAGGTATTAGCAGCTCACCAAGCCTACCAGTCCATTGCCTGCAACTGAAGAAACCACTAAACCTGTCAGGAGTGGCCAAATAAGGTCTCCTTACAGAAGTTGAATGGCCTTTGATCTCCAGTTTGCTACTTTTTATTCAAGCTAGATATCTGGGTGAACCTCACGGAAAAAAAGAGAAGAGAGAGAAAGAGAAAATTTCACTTAGAAACAGCGCTTGGACTGCTTAAGTGAAACGTGATTAATCAATTGAATTTTGCGCCACGAAACTAAGCTGTAAAACAGAATCGCTGCATCGACAACGAAGACGAGTTCCTACGATAAACGCTTTCGCACTTAACCGAAGCCGAATTTTATGCCAAAACTGAAGCCGAAAGAAGGCCGAGCTACTTACAGCAAAAATATCGATCGAAAACCGGTGACCGAAAACCCAAAAAGAAAACCTAAGGGGAGGAACCTTACCAGCCCAGGGACCCCATCTAACTGAGCTAACTAAGTTAAATTACGCCGATTGAGAAGTCCTCTGACTTCAGGCCGAATGTGTGTGCATGAAGTATGCTTTGTAAGGTTCATCCAGAGCTCTATTTATATTCCCACCATCCCAACCCACAAGGAAATGACTAACCGCATTATATGAACGTTGAAAGTGGGGTGTGCTGCTGTTATGGGACCACCATTGTGTGTACTGTGGTATTGAAGAAAGCCAGTGGGAAGCTGCGGTGTAATAGAAGTGGTCGCAGTGCCGTACTGGAACGATCTGTACTGGGTTGAGTCCCATGGAGTTGACATGCTGTGGTACTTAGGATATCATCGGGTGCGCTGCATGCTGTAGTGAACTACCAATGGGCTTGCTTTGGGATTAAAATAATCCCTTGGTAAGTGCTGTGGTGCCATGAAATCGAATGCAATGACTTGATTTACCATGTCCTGGACAAGCTTTACTGTTTTGGCAGAAATATGTGGCAAGATTGCAAATTGTTCGTCAGGAAGTCGAGGAAAACTGAAAAAAAGTGATATGCAATTAGGAATGAATCTAAGGACAAAATGTCTACCTAGCCTACAGCTTTCCAACAAACATCTCGACTGGTACCGTTAATAATATTTTTGCAACAAACATAGTAAAACTAACATTAACAAAAACAGGGTAGTTTTTTGGATAGGATCCAGGAAAATTGGAAAACTGAACAGGCCTCTGGTGTAGAGGATAATCTTAATTAATCTAAGTCTCTGTTGACGCTATTTAAACAAGCTTTATGAAAATGCTCTCTGGTTTAAAAAAGAGAAGCTTTTCTATTAAACATGACAAGAAAAAGGATTAGGGCGCAAGATGAACTTGTCGGCGGCGCGCTGACTTTCCAGCCTTTTAATTTTTTTTCAAATACACTCTGTCCATTTTATATTTTCTATCAATTCCAAATTTGAATTTTGGAATTGTTACTTTTTAGTTGTATTATAATGACACAATTAAATGCTAACTTTAAAACTACGAAACATTTTCATCTTTAATTTCTTGTAATCATCTTCATTCTCCGCGCCGGCTTGTAATTTTATAGTCGATTCTTAGATGACAATTTTTTGTTATAACACATTCAATGTTTCAGTACAATTTTTGCGTTCAGAGAACAGTTACTGTCAGGATAAATTGATTACATTGCCATCTTACTTTCAAAATTTTAACATAAGAATATTAAACTCTGACTCGTACCATTTAATTTAAAAATAAATGTTAGAAACAGCATTCAACTGAGCAAAACTGGAAATGTTGCGAGTGTTTAATTTAGTACACGAATGAAATGTGAAACCACGAGGTACACATTCAAAGTTTTGAGTGGAATGAGAACTTTAACTCAGCTTACCTTTTAAGCATGGTCCTTCCTTATATCTTCAAAGTCCTCGAACCTTGGCTAAATTCGTTTTATCTTTGTGCTCAATAATTTGAAGGAAGAAGACCAGAATTTGTTGCTCACTGCACGAACTGTTTGTCAAATCTGAGCGGTTTTGTAAAGTGCGCCAAATCACCTCATAGTCCCACGTGGAATTGGTCTTTTCTGATTGGTTCGTTGTGCATACCTTTCTGATTTGCAGCTTACGTCACGACGTCCTTTTCGGTTGTTAAGAACTAAAGCGTTCCCTCCGCTGGGAACTAAACTCTTATCAGTTTCACGCAAATTATGCAAAAAAATTATTGTTTTGACCTCCAACAAAGCCGTTCCACGTTTCGTGGTTGCAGTAGCGGATCCAGGAGGGAGTTGGGGAGACGGAGGGAGAGGTGTCGGAACCAAGTTCAAGTTTCAAGTTTCATGTTTATTAAGAAAAATTGAGAAAATACAAAATATGATGTACCACTGCTCGCAGTTAGCTATAGCCATTCGAGGCGAGCAGTGGCTTGACACTAAGTAGAATAATTACAATAACAATACAATTAAAATACTAAGTAGAATTAAATACCCCATAAATATGTCCGTCAGAACAAGGGATTCTTTTAAAGTTCATCATTAGCTAACGGTCATGAACTTGAAATATAAATCACAATCCGAAATAGAGTTTTAGCTTAAGGAGAAACTGCCTATCTCGGTTATTTATCAATACAACAGTGATCTGCACTTGTGACCTGTGTTTATGTTTCAGTACCGATCCGCCCCTTCTCTTATTCAGTTTGGTGATAATTTAGACCATAGACATATATTGCTTTCTAGAACCATTTTTCAACTTTCCTCTGACTGTATCTGGGGAAATCTTATCATGCGTTCTCCTGTATAGCGATTAAGTCTGGAATGTAGGACTGTAGAGGTTTTGCTCAAATGCGAATTGTATTATTACGCTCCTCCCTCCCCTCCCCTTTCCATTATAAAGCTCACGGTTAGTAGACTGGCACTAGATTTTTTGTTGTTTTCATAATGGCGGCGGAAGCTGGTTGTCTTAAGCGTCAATAGCCTGTTGTGTTTCGAAAATTCACTACGGTTACTTCGAGTTTTTTGTAAAATTAAATCAAAATTGTGTCAATGGTTGAAATGGCGGAGAGCCCAAGGGCTCTCGGGGTGCAAGAAGAAAAAGATCTGAAAAAGTTCTTAAAATTTCTTTCGCTGAAGGTAGGTACACGTCAAAACCTTACGTGTCCTTTGCCATAATATGATGCAGATGTCTTTAGCTTGTCTTAAAATTCGCGTGTGTTGGCTTATAGGCTAGCAAAGGCTTTCCAAGGAAGAATATCTAATATGCAATTTGTAGCAGTTCCGGCAATGTTATAGCTTCCAAATGATGTTGTTATACAATTGAATCTAGGAAAACTCACAGACTTTAGAGAATCTTTATAGTTCAAGAAGGCAAATGCGGATGCCATTAATTATAAATCCAACGTATGTATTGCATATAGCAAAGAATGGAATATGTGCTAAACTGTGCGTATTTATTTTCGCAGCAAAATGCTTGAAATATATGATGTTACGAAAACAGTTCATGACAGTTGCAGGATGTTTACGTATTAGTGTCCCATGACGTTTGCATTAATTTTGTCATAAATGCATATTATGCGGTTTTACGGCAGTTCAATTTTTTTTCCGGGTAATCATATGAAGTCTATCAATTTCAGCAAGTTGCAAAGCTCAATATCTTAAGGGAAATTGTAGCCATTTAAAACTGCAAAATTGAGTGACCAAAACGTTAATTAATGAGCCATGCATTCTTTGTAGAATTTATGGGAAAAGGAATTTATCTTAAGCTATTCAATTTATCAGGCTCAAATGTTCAGAGAGTGCTAATATTGCTGTACAAGGTTTTTGTCCACTGAAAATGAAAATTACTCAATTTCCTGATGGATTTAGTCTCATTACCTTGATCGTAGAGTGATATTAAGCATAGATTACTGATAAGGCAAAAAAAAAGATGTAAACAAAGATTTTTCTATAGGGACAATAATCAAAACCCCAAAAAATCCTTTGTGTTGGAAGGAAAGTCCCCAAAAAGCCAAAACCCCAGTTTCTATTTTTCAAACAGTAACATTTAGTATTAATGTTTGAAATCTGCAATCCTGGTTTCATCTTCCCACTCCCCCCTAAAAAACAATTGCCAGAAAACATCTTTGCCTCCAAAATCCCAGATTGGGGAAAATCAAAATATAAAAGGTCCCTTGATAATGAAAGTATCCCCTTTCCTCAGGGTCAAAATGCTAGATGTATAATAACCTGCAATTCCTATGATCAGATTACTCTTGCTATGTATGTGCACAGTGATATTTTGTTACAATTAGTTAGACTGAGTCCTCGGACTCATCTCGTGAAAAATCTTGAGTCCCAGTCCACCAGACTGAATTGACAATAGCAGTCTTGGATTACATCCTTGAAATTTGTACTGTAGTCGATTAATAAAGATAAATCAATACATTTAGCTGCCAATAAACTGTAGATTAGACCGATATCCGGGCTTATGATTGTTATCCATGATCAGAGTTCATCTAAAAGTCGTGCATGAAGTACAGCAGAGATTCCTTAGCTTCCTTAACAACATGGAACTTTATCACTGTACACAGTAACAGTGTTCTCTCTAAATTTTTGTTCTGCAGGTAAGGGACCGTTCATAGGCAGTAATGTATGCCAGAAGCGCACTTTGCTGGGGAAGGGAGGTAGTGGCGTGGCCATGGGGGACGTGGCTTTGACCTTGCTGTGAAATTTAGGAGCTAAGTTCTCTGAAATGTCATTCCCTCATTTAAAACCTATTTTACGTAAATCAGCCGTTGTTATTTTTAGACAACACTAAAAAACGTTTGATTCCAATAATATTACACTATCTTCAATGCTCTAGAAAAGCTGTGTGTACTTTAGTACACTTCCATATATTCGTTGATTACCTTGATCAGATCAGATCACAACTTACGTATTTTTTAAAGCAACTTATTTAATTTTAGTAAACCTTCAAGCGGTTGCAGGCAGTAAGAAGTGTTGCTTCAGACGGTAAATTTTACCGGTTACCGCCTGATAAGGAGAACACTGACAGTAACCATTGAATGTTAATCGTTGACAAACATTGCACAGTTTTTACATACCTCTAGTAAGCGGACACCCTCTGTTAAGCAGACACTTGGGAAGGTCCCAAAGGTGTCTGCTTAATAGAGGTTTCACTGTATATTTTTTCCAGCTTACATAATAAATGATTCTTTCACTTCACCGTCCATTCTTTCCTATACTTGTTTTAGGCTGTACAAGTTATCGTTCAGTCACGTCTTGGAGAAAAGATCCATACAAAGTCCAAACCCAATTCCATGGGACAAGACTGGGTAAGATACCAGGGCTAATGTCAAGTTGCTGGGTAAATGATGCAAGTAGGCAGGGATTTAAACAGCTGTTGATTTTGATTGGTTCTGTTTTTCTTCTATTTTCCTACAAAAGTAGGCAGGGGTCACATTCATAATGGCCAGGGGATTAAATCCCCAGCCCCCAACCCTTAATGACAGCCAGGCTGAGATGCTGTACATTGTGTCTTACATTTAGTTTTACTGAAAATTTTAATACAGTGGAACGTACATGTGTGACGACCTCTTGGGAAGTGGATCTGTAAGGGTGGTTACAGGTGTTTCAGTTGGGGGCTCAGTACACCCACTTTACTTGGATTAATTTTTACAAACAATCAAAAAAGGAAAAATCCAACTGTTAGTGTGAGAAGGATATGGAGAAAATAAAAAGGATTGTTTCCATCAACATATTTTCATGGCAGGTACTATTTTTTATCTTTAATGAGAGAAAGAGATAGAAAATGAGACATAGGCCGATCATAGAATGCAACAAATTTGAATTTGGATTTGATTTCTGTTAATAATGAATCCACTTATGGAATGTGGATTCTTGGTCATTGTAATCTGTGTTTGTATTTTTGTTAAGAAAATTATGCAAACTCTAATTTTGGATCATCTTATTGCTGTGAGTAACCATAACTGTATTTTCCCTTACAAGGTAATTTATGTTAAATGTAAATTCTTTTCAGTTCAATCTCGCTGTAAATGATCATCCTGATGTTGCTGCAGAAGTTAAGAAAGTGACAAGTGGTAGACTTCCCTCCAAAGAAAATCCCATGTGTGTAGAGATATCTTTAAAAACCAACGAGGTAATTAATACGCGGCAAGCCTTGCCGTAGCAATAACTTATAACAACAACACTAATAATATTTGATAAATTGTGTCATAAAAAAGTTCTAAATAACTCAAATTAATCTTAAGTAGCGTCAGAATGCTGCTTAAATTCATATTTTGCTGCTTGGAAATTTTGGTGTAGTTCCCTTCTTGAGATCCTGAAAACTCTCCTGTTTTCTCACCATTTTTTTTCCATGAATTATACTCTAACCATACCTTTTGAACAACCAGTCATCTGCGAAAAATCATTCTTTTGTGATAAAAGATTGCTGATGATAATGGGGAACATCTTTAGAACCCTATTGTAAGTGTAGGAACTTGTTGCTTATATTTTGTACTCCTTGCTTGTTTAGGGAGAATCTATGGTTTTAGAGACTTGGTGCCTTGGTATGAATGACAGGGTTGATTCAAATGCCAAAGTGACATACACAGTTTACAACAGAATTGGAATGCTACTCAAATCTCTTGTGTCTGTCACAAGAGTGACACCTGCTTATCAGTTGTCACGGAAACAAGGGACGGATTTTATGATGTGCTACAAGTAAGATATAAAAAAGTGATAATATTATTTCGTAAGTAAACTCTGTTGTTCGGTTAAAGAAGCCAGCATTCAAGAATTTTCTTTGTTTCCTAGCTCTAATGTCTCAAGGCCCCTTATCCAGTGGGTTATCTGGTCGTTGGGTTCCATGCAAGCCTTGCTTGCTTTTCCCTGCCCATCTTTTCCCACCAAAGCCTTGTGTTTTTTTGTGTGTGTGATTGAACATTCTGATTTAACATTAAAAATGTTGGCAAGCAATAACGTGTTAACCTGCAGATCACGCCCAATATATGTATGTATGCCTTCTCAGTCAGTAATTTCTTTTGTCATTACCCCCTCCCCCACTCTCCCATTATCTGAGGCTTCCTTAGGTTGCTTGTATTTTTACAGTTCCAACTTTCCTCTTCATTGCTTGTAAGTTTAACTGTGTTTAGGTGGTGTTTTATTTTAAATTTACGGCAGGGAATTGCTTCCTTCAGCATCCATCCAGCCTTGTGCTGAAGTCAGGGGATTATGGGAATTCTGCTGGTCAAGGACGTACATGTTACCCCAGCCACATAGATGTGTGAACCATGCTTCCTTGCAGTATAGGCATGAGGCATCCCCTCTGCATTGCTCCATGTGCCTATGTAGGCCCCTCATTCAGTCAGTGGTTTCTATCCAAGCCTTGATGGCTTTTGTTCCCTTCTTAACTATGCCCACCAAAGCCTTGTGTATTGTGTTTTTTCTTTGTAGTGCATGTACAGTAATGGCTAACATGATTATTTTTTGCCATCATCATGCTCTCTCAGGGTATATTTTGGTCAAGTCAGCTTTCAAGAGCTTGGAGAAGGTCAGTTTCAGCATCTAGTGTCACAGAACTGAGTAAATGAATGCTTAAAGAAGGAAAAACAGAAAATAAATTAAAGATCTTTTATACTGATCATTTAATGAACATTTATAGCCTCTTAGCCAAAGAACAAAAGAAATCTAAACAATTTTCCTGGCACAAGGGACATAAAGGTCTAAGCAAGTTTGAGGTGAACTAGAGAACTTGCTTCTGGAATATTTTCTTTTTTAATTTGAGTTGATCGCTGCATCTGATAATATGTAAAACCTGACTGGAGATTTAAATGACTGGAAAGAAACACGAACTTGGGGCATGTGGATTTCATGGCCAGGATTGACCCTTATCTCCGGGGCATCGTGACTCCCTAGGCAAAGGGGATTGTTTCCGGGAAATTATGTAATAAGTATGGAATTGCTTGGTTGGTCATAAGTATCAACACAGAGTTTGAGGGACAACAAGAGTATAAGGAGAGTTTAGGAAGCTGGAGTTTGTTATTATGAGCGACCGCTCGAAATGTCACAAAGTACTTCCTTGGAAAACATAATTATTTTGCTATTAAGTTTTTGAAATGTTGTAAAGGAAAGTTGAAAGTTGCAGACAGAGATGTTACAACATGAATTTGCATTTTGTTGCCTGCTTCAACACTTTTCTTTGCTTGGCATTGCATTACTTCATAAAACTTAATTGTCTCGTATAAATTTGACCAATTTGCTCTGACTAAATGAATAATATTACAGGTTTCCAATCACTGAGAGTTGGATCAATTGGTACGCCTGTGGGATCCATAACTCTATCTGCTGCTTACAGAACAAGATTGACTTTGCCAGAGAGGTAAATACTAAATTATCGTTTCCTATTTATCTTGCTGTATTGCAAATAGTCCTTCTTCACTTAGTGCCATGTGCCATGTTTTACTCATGATGGTAGTAGTGGTAGTATTAGTAGTAGTGAACTTTATTAACATGTCAAGAATCTCTAGCGCATAGCACTAGTTGGTGGCACAAAAATAAAAATCAAATAAATAAATAAAAATCAAATATTAAAATAGTGTTAAATTAATGTTAAGATAGAAATGCAAATTGTAAAATCTAGGGAGGTTAAAAATTTAAACCTATTTACACATAAAAAGATGTATGTACATGATAACAGGATAAAAATTTGGCTTTGTAACAAAGGGTCTTAAAGTTAATTATTACAAAGCATGCAATTTCTACAGCCATCCTCGATTAAGGCAGTCAGGTCTGTTCTCCTAAGTTTAGTCTTAAATGGTATTAATTAATGTCTCCAATGCAGGTTTATGAGATTCCACCACTAAAAAAGGTTAATTTGGTGCACCCTACGCTACTGATGTAGCCCCTGAACAACTTAGTCACTTAACATTGTAGACTAAAAGAAAAGTACACAATCTTTGGCAGTAAATGGGACTAACGGTTGTTCGGTGCACCCTGAGGTAAAAGCAGGGGTGGCAGCAACTCACCCCATAAAGTGCATGCAACAAGGGTGGCAGCAACACACCCTTAACTGGGTAATGCAATGAGGGTGGTGCCAACACACCCCAGTAATAATATGTAATGGAATATGGGTGGCAACACACCCTCTTGAAAGTCAAGAATGCTGATTAAAATTTTTTTACATAATTTCTTCAGACAGCAGGTCATGGTCCAGAGTAACCATTTTAGTTCCGAGTTAGTAAAGATGTCTCCGGATCAGTTGGATGGTGTGTTGCCTTGTGTGCCAGGTGGACATGGAATGTTTGACTTGTCTGCTGAAGCTAGGTGTGGCATAGTAATTTACCATTAACCGCATGTAAAATCTTTAGTCATTATTAAAATTGAACGAATGCCATGAAATCACCCGTGAAGTCATCCTGATCAGCTCTCTGGAAAAAGGTTGTAAAAGCAGGTCCTTGTTTTGTTGGTCTTAAACTAATTAAGTGGAGGAAAAGACATTTCCACTCACAGGTTAACAGTTACATGTAGGTGGTAAGGCAAGAGCGGAGATGCATTCATGGTGCAGTTCTTACATTTGACGGAGATTCCTTGTTTTCAAACTCATTATTATAGATTACCTTTACTAAAAAACAACAAAAAATAAAAATTAAACTAAGGACAGAATTGAATCACAAGTTATTTTTACCATGAGTTAGAGAACTGAACTAAAGTGTGAAAACAGTGGCCAACTTTACTCTACCACAGTTCTCAGCAACCAACAGGAAAGCTAATAAGCGTCTGTAAGTTCTTTATTGTGTACATAACGTAAAACCTAGTTTGCAGAAGAACTGTTTGAATACATACTGGTGTGACGGTGGTTGTCTTTGTTATAGTCACCTGTGCTTTCATTTTTAGGCATCATATTGCAGAGCAGATAGCCAATGCAACGGAAACTGAAGTGACTCAATGTGCAACAGTCTCTTCAAATACCCCACCATCTGCAGCTCACAGACTCAGGGCAGCATCTCCACCTCCTGGGTTGAGACGGGTCTCTCAAGAAAATCATAGCGCCATACAACAGAAGATTGACAGGTGAGCCTTGTTAAACCTCTTCTTTTAATTAAAATAGCTCCTTAGCAACCATATCAAGGTCAAATGTAAATCTTCGGCAACTCGAATACTGTACTCTCATATGGGACCCTTATGAGAAGGGTGACATTTTGTCACTGAAGACGTTGCAACGTAATTTCGTACCCAGATCTCTTGTTGACGAAGCCTTCAGCTTTGAAAATAAGAAATCTGTGTACGACATTAAGTACAACGGCGAACAGAACGCATTGCTACAGGTGAGATGTACAGATCTCTTGTCAACGAAGCCGAAAAGAGATCGGGGTACAAGATTAGGTTTTTGGTACGGTTCTTTACGACGTGAAATTTCTCAACGTAGTCTATACATGATGATAATTTAGTCTTTGTCTTTGGAAACTGTATACCTTCCTCAAGAATTCAACTCCAAGCCCCGGTTGTTCAAACGTTGGATAGCACTATCCATCGGATGAATCACTATCCCGTGGATAAATATTAGGGAAACCAATTTCGCTATCCAGTGGAGTAGTGGATAGTACTAACCACCTTTTGAACAAAGGACGTTTCGCCAGCGTTTGACAAATTGAGCGAGTTGGAGTGAAGACGAAGAATTTTGAAACAGCGCGAATTCATAGTGACTTTGCCACCGTCACCGTCGTTGTTGGTTAATCTCTCTCACTGTTTGGCCTTTAACTCTACGCGCACAGGTTCAACTGCCACGCACTGCTCCACTGCTTAGCCTTTTAGTTCAGATGCTATAGCAACATTGATCGTAGGTACCACCATATGGTTAGAGATTTGTGCTATTTTCTTGCGTGGATCTATTTTCATGCTAGACTTTAAATAGGACGAATGCTTAGGTGGAGCTTTATTGGATTTTATGGTGCTGCAGACGAGATAGGATTGCCTGTTCCAGGCGTTCAGATAGTAGAGCGCGGGAGAAAAATTCACGAAGAAAAAAAAACGAGGGGAGACCCCCCATTTCCCCCTCCCCCATTTTCCCCGTCTATCTGAACGCCTGGAACAGGCTAAGATAGGACTGGACACGATTTGCACTACCGCATGGACATGACATTTTTACCTTTGATCTGATCTTGTATATAGAATAGAATAGAATAGAATAGAATAGAAAACTTTATTAATGTGTCGGAGCCGTATAGCTTGGGAACAATCCCATACTAATTTGGGGACACAATTTATAATATTTGCAATTAAATATTAAATATTATATATCTTGCAAAAGAACTGTTGTCGAATATTTTAAGGAGTTTATCTTCTACGGACTAAAGGGTACCTCAACAGTTTTAATAAGGAGTTTCGTCATTTACAGCATGTGTACTAAAAGTAACCCTCTTTTTGATATTTTGAACAGACAAAGAACTTTCTGTAAGCCAATCAACTGTGCGCAGATTCGAACCAAGGGAGCTTTTGTCAGCAGTGCAGACACTTCTGAAATGGTAAGTTCGGACGTTTCATCGTTACCAGGCCTCCCTCCTTTCTTTTACTTAGCGCGCGTCGTGTTTTGGAATGTAACACAGGCGTATTTTTTGAGCGGGCGACAGCTGCTTGTTCATGTTCGTTCGTAATGCCGTGGTTGTCATGGAAGATTGGGGACAGTAGCAAAAAGGCTGTCTGGAAGATTGGGATTGTAGAAACAGCAGCTTTGCGCTAGGCGTTAAGGCGAACCTCGACTTTTTTATAATTCAACATGGTGCCGGGTTACGTCAGGCGTCGAAAAGGGAGGGGGAAAGGGGAAGAGGAGGGGGATTCCATTGTTTCTCCCCTTCTCCCTTCCCTCACCTCCCCTTTCTTTTCACCTTTCTCGCAGGCTAGTCGGACGTCCCGGTTTTTGTATCCTTCCCATGACGCACTGCGCTTTTCCGATTTTCCGGGCCACAGTGATGCAAAACAGGGATTCTCGTTGCTTTTTTCACTGTACTTTTTGAACGTGATACATGTCCCATAACCTTTTCATTTTTTCCTGACGTGTTCCCTCTGTTTACAGTCCATGCTGCCAAACCTGTCAGCTACTCCACCTTTTGCAACACTATTACGGAAAGACGAAGACAGCAAACCCAGCTGTTTACCTCCAGATAGTAACCTCAAAAATTCTCTAACGATGCTTACTAGAAAGGTATGTAACACTTTTCCTCGGAAAGCGCGCAACAGGTACTGAACATCAACAAACACTGCAAGTACACGACGTCGAGATAACTGAAACTGTCTGAACAGAGAACAATTTGTATTACCACATTGATTTCGGTGTAGTCGAAGCTTGAGAAATCATGAAGCTAAGAAATGGAGGCTTTCCCTGTGGTGTCAATGTTGTTTCCATTATCAGTATTGTAGTGTTGTCAAGGATATCTGCCACTTTAAAAACACTGCAATACATTTGTCTCGTGCTTTGTCACTGCATGAGAACGCTGTTCATGTCTTAGTGTATGTACTGAAATTTCTGTACCAAAGAGAACGAAACCTCCCCTTTTCTCTGGAATTATTTGCTACCACCCAGTGTAATCTCTATTTCAGTGAAACGCGCACAAACCTTCAGGTAAAGAGCTTATTTGGTTTCTGTATTATGATATTGCAGGATAGTTCATCGGATAAATTAGAAAGTAGACGGCCATCAACAGTTCCTCCTCCTACACCCAGTCAGCTGGGTTGGGATGATGACTTTGTCATGGTAGAACTGGTTAGTAATAAAACGTGCCCTAAGCATACATTTTTGAATACAGAGGTTTAGATAGTGACTATTGAAAGTCATTGAACGGGTGCTAATTGATCACATTCATCTTAGAGGTTGATAACGATTTTGTCAGATAAGAATGATTAGCTCGGTCGGTAGAGCACTTGACTGCAGAGCGGGAGGTTGCAGGCTCGATGCTCGGGGCCGGACCAATACTCAAGATCTTAAAATAACTGAGAAATGAAGGACTTCACCCTGAAAACGGCGAGACCTTCGCGTGGCACGGATGACCATGTAAAATGGTAGTCCCATCTCTATTAGTGTCCTCAATTAGTACTTTTGTGCTAAAGACGTTGACTCTTAAATGAAGTGCTTTTATTATACAGCTATTTCGAGAAAGGCTGTCGAAAAAAATGTGCACTCGACCATCCCGAAAGGTAATATGGGATATGATCAATACACTGTTCCTGACACTGTAGCTGTCGAGCCTACTTTTGTTGCTTTCCTTTAACATTCGCAAACGTACGTCCATGACCTCTCGCACCATTCTTACAAATTTCTCTGAAGAACAGTCAACTGAAAGCCACCCACAATAGACACAATACTTTCGCCGGATTGTCGCGTGCCGTTTTTCTGACAGCCTTTCTCGAAACAGCTTGTATACTGCGCCATGAAAACCACCTTTTATAAACAGCATTACTGCTGGTACCATAGAAAGTGCTGCTCCCGCAGTTGTAAAAAGAGCTAAGAAAAGTCTTAGTTTTATTCTCAAAGACTGGTTCAGTCAATTCGTTGCAATGCAAATTGATATCTGCTACGGCAGATTGTCACAAAAAGAAACCAAATTTCAGCTGTCAAGGTCTTGAGGGGAGGGGACGGTTGTACAGAGGCTTTCACTGGTCAGAACTGATCAATAATGTTAAATTTACAACCTTTCATAGCGCTTGACACCAGATGCCTATTTTTGCTTTTTAGAAGTTTTCAGTTTTATTGCCCATTTTGGGGCTGTTGCGCGTGAGAGCTCCGGGTTGGTGTTGTGTCGCATTGCACTATGGGAATGTTTTGGGGGCGCCAACACTTCTGTTATTGGCTAGTTCAAAGATACGCGGGAAACTGTGTCAAAACTCGTCCCGCACTGAAAACAGTCCTATGATGCAATTCGATCCTTTACCGACCCAGTCTCCAGGGCAACTTCAAATAGCCCACGTTCAAAATGTAAAATTCTAACATGACTCCGAGGCTTTCTGACCATTTTTCTATATTTGGTCTGGCTTTCTTTGTATTCAAGTCTCTTGAAAATTGCGAGACAATGGAGTCGTGAAAAATTTGCAATTTTGACCCTAAACAGGCCTAAAGCCTCTGAGTCATGTTAGATTTTTTATACATATATATCGAATGTGTGCAATTGTCTAGGTGTTAGATGTTTTCATGCCTAGTTCCCCTTTTTTTTACCAGAAACCAGCGTTTGCATCGCACTCAGGAACATCAGCAGGTGATCTCGGTAGCTTCTTTCGTGAATGCCAGGCTGCTCCGCCACTGAGTCTCTTTCAAGACAACGAGCTTCTTACACTCGACAATGTTATGGTACGTCATATAAGATAAAACGATCTAACACAGTTAATGTCCGTCATCAAAGGTTTTACGTAATGTGTCCGCCCATCTTCGTTGTTGTTTTTAATTGTCATATGTAACGTTACTGTTTTTTGTTTTTTACAAATTTTTAAACTCTGGGACCACTGTAATTGGCTTACCGCTGTTGTGGTATCCCTACTTAATCAAGCGTTTATTATTCTTTCTTTCAGTGTAAAATAGAATAAATAAAATAAGATGTCGCCAGAACGCTGAGATATATACTCTGTGCTTGAAGTGGCCTCGTTTGGCAACAGTAATCTTAATATACCTCCACCTGGGAATGATAATGCGCGTGGGTTGTCTGATACTCCCCATACACTTTCGCTTTTGATTTTTTTGTCCGTTTCTTTTTTTCTGCCGTGCGTGTTTATTCTTTCAGTTCAATGTAAGGGGTTAGCTTTAAAGAAACTGTTATGTTGCGTGGTTCGGGATTTTAAATACAATACATATGGACTCTTTACCTTTCTCGCTCCGACGAAGCATCTCTTTCCCCTACGATAGCCAAACTACCCTATCAACTCAGCTGAGAAAACCGAATCTTTGTATTCCTACAGTTCTCAATTACGATAATTCGGTCCTCAATGTATGTATTCTTGAAGCTCCGGTTGCCAATCCAAATCTTCGCTTTACACCGGTTTCGCTACTTGTCAAATTCGCTACGTTCGAGTTCTAGTCGTCTCACTGCCTATTGGCAAAGTCCAAAACTTGCACCCTAGGATGGGCAAGCTTAAAAAAAACGAGAAATATATTAAGATTTTTTTCTAGAGCGATTAAGAGAATATTTTCAGTGGTTTACAGAAAGTAATATGTAGCGAATTTGTTGCGAACTAGGACGTAGCGAATTCGACAAGTAGCGAAACCGGTTGTTACCAAATCTACAGTTTGGGTTCGAACCAACACACCCTTTTCGTTAGCGCGGACTTTCAAAGCCAACTAATGTTGAATAATGAATTAAATTAATTAAATAATGTATGTGTGGTTAGTAAACGCTTTCATCTTGTGAATGGCATTGTTTTCGTTAGTGTGCTGAGAAATTAGGGAGCTTAAGCAAAGACGTTTTTGAGTTTTCAACCGGAAGTAGACATTTTGCGATATTCGGAAGTGGTTCGCCTACTTTTTTGGCCAAGTCGTCTCTTTAAGAGCAAGACAAGAAAGCATTACGAATTTGGCCGCGTCGAGATATATGGAAAGGGAAAATGTTTCGCTTTCGGTTGACGTGCTTCGCTCAAAAACGCCTTTACTTCAACTCCCTATTAACGAAAGCTTAAAGAATTCCTTTTGGAAACATGTTATAAACAACACTGACTGGGCGCTTTATAAGGAGCAGGGCTCGAAAAACCTTGAATTCCAGTTTGACCTTTTGGCAAGCAGCTCTCTGTCAAGGGCCATTGCCTATTTATCTTACAAGATGACTCTTGCCCATTGGGTAGATAAGTTTAAACCAAAGTTATTACTTGCCCAGCGACAAAATTACTTGACCTGCACAACCGGACACGACTTTGAATTCTTTACGGGACTTTTTGTGAGCCCATGAAATCAAGTCTTTTTTTTTCTTTATAGGAACGTTTGGATGGAGAGCTTTGCGGCTTTCGCGAGAACGCGTTTAAATTTGATGAACTTTTAGCAGACCTGAAACAGAGATGAACAAACTTGGGGATTTTGTGCGACGACGAGCTTTGAGCAAAGATGGAAAAATGTGCAAAGACGTGCAGGTAAAAGATTTAAACAAAGTACAACGAGGAAAGAAATAAGCAACAAGAAGTACCAGGCTAAGTTCAGCGCGGATATTTTACCGATTAAGACCGAAAACAGATTCCGGGATATTTTAATGCTGTGGACAACAAATTTTTCGGGAGAAAGCTATTTTTATACAAAGAGACAGTGCAAGTGCATATGGATCACGGAGGAGGTAAACACACTTCAGTCGAGGATAGAGTGTTCGTTATTATCTTTATCTGCTAATCGTTCAAAAGTTCAAAACTTGGACCTGTCATTTTGACGCTGAGGAAAACTCTAAGATGGAAAGAAGCATCGTTGGATTGTTCAATCGGCGGCTAAGTTCATTTTTTTTTGTGCATGAGTCACGGAAAATTACCTTTTAGCGATGGTAATGCGTTGCGTGTTCACTTAACCAACCAAAAACCGAGAGCATTTGAGCTTTTTTCATGCGTAATCACTCTAAGGTCAAACGTAGCCTGCGAGCAAGCTCTCCATTTGGGGATATCGTGAAAAGTACACGCGCGAGAGTCACGTGAGAGGAGACGTAATTCCTCCGTCCCTCGCGGCCACGCCGCTAAATCGCTCGTCCTCGCGCGTCTCTCTTCGCTCGCCCAAATAGCAGAGCTTGTTCACAGACTAGGTCAAACGAAAGGCGCCCTATATTGATAGGACAGTGAACTGGAATTTATTAACGTTAGTTACGTCCATTCGTTTATGGTTACATTCGGTGAACGCACACGTTTTAGGCATTTTTTTTTTCACGCACAAGCGACGTTTACCATAGTAGACGTAAACTGTCGAAACGATCCCCAGAATGGTAACTTATTTGAATGATACGTAACTGGCTCTAGTTCAGTTGTCTCGTGTGAACACCAACAATGCGGTAGTCTAGCACCCAGGTGCCCTCGTTGAAACTAATACTTAAGCTTTTTCGAGTGCTTTTTATAGCATATTCTTGCGGACAACTGGAAACGATTCGTTACGATAACCGATCTCGCACGGACGTGAAAATTTGCATGCGTTTACAAACGTTAACGTATCGACGTTGGCTTTATAAAGCTTTTGAACAGTTCTTTCCCTGTTCATAGCCGGTCTGTTCTATAAGGAAGTGCAATCCTCAGCTTGGAGAAGCAATTCCCTCAGACCTGCGAAAACAGCTGTTTCTCCTTTAATAGTCGCTCCTCGCCGCTGGGGACGTTTCGCGAGGAGAAACGGCTGTTTTCGCAGGCTACAATTCCCTGTGCTGCTTCCGATTCTATTAGGCTATGTTTGCACTCTACCGGATAGCTTTAGGGCGGGCACGAAAATCATACCGGATGGGGCAACTATTCACACACAAGAACGGTTGTGGCGGCGCGATTACTGTGACTGAGCGAAGCTGTGCGCCGCGGCGATCTCTAAAGTGGAGCGTCACATATCGGATAGGTGTTCACACTATACTGGACAGCTTTTAATGCTATCCGTAGCCGTTACGTCACTTGTGGGAGCATAGCCTTACCCTGCGAGCAAAGGTTTCTCTTGCATGGCTTTTAGCGTTTACGAAGTCGTTCGCGTCGCTTGTCAGTCGCGTGGTTACTTTGTTTTATACTAGCTTGCGAGCAAGCTCTCCTATTTGGGCAAGCGAAGCGAGTCTCGCGAGAACGCGTGAGCGAGCGGCGAAGCCGCGAGGGGCAGAGGAAAGGCGACAGGGCATCTCCTTTCCTCGGCACCTCGCTCGCGCGTTCTCGCGAGGTTCGCTTCGCTCGCCCAAATAGGAGAGCTTGCTCGCAGGCTATTTTATACCGGCAGACCTTACCAGAAAAGCCGCCGTCAATAACGCTATTTCAATTTTGTAACATTTTTAATAGTCATTTAAATGATTAATTCAAAATGTACAGAAAGTTGTGCTAAAACAAGTAATACAGTGGATTCCAGATTTTTCGAGCTACCTTGGGAAATGCAAATGTTAAGTTCGAATTATCGGGGGTAATTTAAATTGTTTGACTGGCGATGAGAACGTAGGTTTGGTTCGAATTATTGGGAATTTCCCGCGAAAAACGAACGATTCGAAAAATCATTGTACTAATGTAAAAGAATTCTGAATAAAGCAATTTTAAAAAGGCAATTTCTTCTTCTTTTACTCTGTTGGGCTTGACAGATGTCAAGTTACATTTCTTTGCTATTTTCTGCCAGAAGCCCAGAAGTCACTTGTTTATTCGTTGACACGAAAACAGCCGTAAACACTTTTAGCGCTTTATCGATAACTCGGGCAAAAAATTAAAAAAGAAAAGACAGAAAAATTTGTATTGCTTTGTACGAGCCATCTAAATCAATAATAATTGTGGTTTCAATACACAATCGTACATAAGAGTACACAATAGGAAACATTAGCTGGCCATTATTTTACTATATATATATTTTTTTCTGTTTTTTTGTATTGACGCTAAGGATAGGCGACGTGGTCGCGGCGAATGGAAAGTGTTTTAGCCCTTCTCAACAAATCAAGACGTTTTTTCGTTTGTTTCGTATCAGACGGCAAACCTCATCTTTATATTTTCGGGTAACCATGCTGTTGCTAGTTTGCTGTTTCCTCAAAATCTTGCAGTTGTTGTTTCCCGTTACGTTTTTGATTTTCCACCGTTAAAATAATGCCAGGATTCCTGCGAAAAGTAGACATTTACCGTAGTTTATCGTTCATATGCGTCTCCCTTGCTTAGCTTAGCTCCGGAGCAAATCACCGGGCTAAAACAAATCAAATGAGACATTTTTAATTATGCGAGTGAACAGTCCACACGTTACAAAAAGCTTAACTCTTTTGTACTTTATAATCATGCAACCCTTTAAAACGTCTTTGCCAAAGTATTGATTCCATCTCCTATTATAAAGTAAGATTTAAAAATACCGATTAAGCAGACACTATATTACCATATTGCATAGTTATCACGGTTTTCAGTGAAACTTCACGGAGTTTCACGGTTTCTATCACGGTTTTCAGTGAGACTTCACGGAGTGATTCCATGGCGACCATGACAAAAATAAAGCAAGTGAAAAGCACTAGCTGTCAACCGCTTATCAAACATTTGGAGAAAATGGCCGGCAGGTGTTTTTTATTCCAATGGGGGCTTTGAAACCATATTTTCTATTTTCTTCTGTAGGACACACGCTGGCCCGTAGTCTTCGCAGCAAACTCTTTTAATTGTTCCTCCTTCGTTTCCGCTCCCATTTTCCGAATTTAATTGCAAGGTGCCTCTTCGTAAGTGGTTTTCATCGCCTTTTAGGTCTTGATTTGTTTACGAATTCTCCTAACCGCGAGACTAGGACAAATATTCGATTTTCGAAATTCCCAAATTAAAGCTTGCCCATCGTACATATATTTATTAGCACACGGCAGCCATAGGCAAAATTTGGAGGAGAGGGCCAGGAAAAAAATGGTTGGCCTCGATTTTTTAGTGCGTTTAGCGCTGCAGAGGGATTTTTACAGTGCGAAGTAATAGTTTTGCAAAGCAGAAAAGATTGTCTGGAGTGTAAACAGAGTACAAACGTGAGATTGCAAGAAAGCATTTTTCTGGTTATTCTATAAGGATCTGTTATCCGTGCAAGGATCGCGCGTACAGTTTGGCGATCGTAAAGGTCAGAGCAAAGTGAATTATCCATGAAGAATAGAAACCTGAAAAATGGATCCCGCAACCGATGAAACGGGAAAAGAAACTAATGGCCAGGAGGACGATAATAAAGACAAAGACGAAGAACCGGTCGTGGATGAAAATGAATTTCAAAAATGTTCGCGGAAGGGTAGACGGGATGCTTGTCCGGACATTCACTGTAAATGCGGCGACTCTAAACACAGTGACCAGTGCTTGTTACACAAGGAAAACTTGGAAACTGAATTGGAAGAGAAAAGCATGGACGAAAAGACATGAAAGATTTCCCCGCTACGTACACTGCTCAGCACGCGGCCTGCTTGTTTTGAACGCCTTTTTAATTTGACCAGTGTTATTTATTTGTGGGCCGTCTGGCACGGAGCTGATGTTTGAACGAGTCTTATATTTTTTGGAAAAAAAACTGCAAAGCAGCCATTTTTACCTACACTAGAGGCAAAAGATGGAGTAAAAGAAGAGAAATATCATTATTTATAAGGATGACAAAGGCGTTCTTTCGTTTATTAGATTTGTTTTTGAAATTCAGAACAAGATGGAGTTTTCTTTTTTTGTTCGTTTGTTTTTATCTCAATTTGGAAGCAGGTGACGAGAACCTAAAGATATCATGACAAAATCTTGATAATATTCATGGTTTTTGAAAATCAAATGTTTTGGTGTCTTCGATTGAACTGAAACCTCAACACCTGTAATTCTCCTTTAAATAGAAACATTTTACGAAGTTTGCAATTTTTACGGACTATATTAAGCTGGTTTTTAACGTGAAATGCTTCTCGCAGCGTTCGTAAAGTGTTATGGCCAGTCGTAACGATTATACTGTTTCGTGCGGGGGGAGAGTTCTCCTTTTTAAAATGCAATTCCTTGAAAACAAATAAGCATTACCTTCGTTGTAATAAAACACAGACTTTTTAATGCCGAAGGCATGTGTGTGTGTAAATTTTTTTCCCCCAAATAATCATGCTTTTTGCTTTTACATCTATATAACTAGATGTTATATTCAGTAGAACAATGAATTATTGATAAAAATTACCAAGTGATATTGCGTGAATTTGTTTTTAACAGGAAAAATAGAAACCGAAAAGCCATCTTCATTTTTTACTATAATTCCAGGTTTATTCGATAATTCGATATATCGGCTATTTTGCATTTCCTTTTGGCGTAAAACTGTCATTTTATTAACTTCACAATTGTGTTTTTGCTGGTCGTTGTATAAACCTGCACATAATTGTACCTGGTTTTATTTTTGTACTTACTTTTTCAGGTTGCGTCAAGGAACATTTAATATACCCTTAGATAACTAGATAATTTCGTAATCATGCAATTTTTTTCCATGGATTATTTTCTACCGCCATTACTAAGTGAGCGCTGTTGTGTAATCCATTATACAGAGTCTATTTTTAGTCCGTGTAGGTGGTTAACTCAGCTTTTATTCAACCGCTTCTGTTGATTAAACCTGTTCATCTTTGCACCTGTTTTTGTCGACTTCAATGGATTTATTGATGTCGCACGAGGAATTTGTCAGAGATAATCTCTTGGAAGTCAGTAAATGGCCGTGTTCATTAAGCTTAATTCCTAAAGGAGTTTGACTGATGGTCGCGGGTCGCGGGTTGTATATCGCGGGTTCAGGTTGCAAGTCGCAGGTGCGAGCTGGATATCGCGTGTGCGGGTCGAAAGTCGCGGGTGCGCGTTTCGATGTTGCGCGTGGGAAAAATGATTTTGCGTGAAATTCAAGTTAGAGTTTGAGGTAACTGAGTAAAAATGACTGCTGTAATCATTTTTTTTTTTAATTTGTAAGATACCAGGATCGATTTTTCGTGGTCTCAGTTGTAGTTTGGGTGCAGACAATGAAAGCCAGAACTATGTTACCACAGGCAGACCATCCGAACTGTTCGGATGCGACATGTGAACCCATACATTTACTGTATTTCGTAACGCCCGCACTAGGCTCGATTCAAGTGATCGATAGAAATACTTCATAAAACACAGAATTTTGCACCTTTTGATCCCAAATGTTGATATAATGTAAGGAAAGGGAACTAAGATAACTTACCGTATGTTTTTAGTGTCGTGTTCTCCCCCGACTAATCAAATTTATCTATTTATTATTTGTCAAGTCAATAGGAGCTTTTGAACGTTTGTACTGCTTCCTTGCAAATTGGTGAAATTTGCACCCACTTCGTGATTATAATTATTTTCGATTCAGGTATATTAAAAGGGTAGGAATATATGAAAGGATAGGGTAAGCTGCCATAGCGGTCTGCGAAAGGACCTAAAAGGGCTAGCAGACGCGTCTTATGGCTGTAAAAAGGACAAGAAAACTTCCTGGCTAAGTGATGTAAATGACGGTGCATTTCAGTGTTCTAAACTTGGTATGTGAAAAGGGGTATCATTTGTCAATTAAAGGTATTCGATAAGGGTACCTTTTTTGTCAAAAATGGTATATTAAAGGGTAAGAGGTTGGACCTGGGGGCGGAACCTTCCCATAGAAAACTTTTTTTGATTACCCCCTCCCCCCGTGACGATAGCAGCTAGTCATCCTTCCCCTCCCCGTGACGATAGCAGCTAGTGATCCTTCCCTCCCCCGTGACGATAGCAGCTAGTGACCTCAAAGTTAAAAGCATGGTTCCCCACTGCGGTTCACTGCGAGGCCTGCTCCCAGGCTACCTCAAGGCAACGAGAACGTTGACGTCCCGGACCATTCTCGTCGCCAGCTAGGCATTTTCTCAACGGTGTTGTCCGTGCGAAGTAGTAGTAGGGAGCTTAGGCAACCACAACGACGAAGTACAACGACAACGTCAGAAAAAAAAATGGGTTTTATGAGCAAAACAACAGCTCTGCACGTCAGCACGTGTATCACGCTTTTCATATACATTTCTTTGACATCCGCTGCACGACTACGACGTGAAACCTCCTAAGGCAATGTTTTTTGGAGGATGTGAACGTACAAGGAAGATCTTTCCTTTCTGTTTTTGAACCTGGAAAAAGTCCTTTTTAAAAGAATTCAATGCCAGGAGAAATCGCTTGCATTTGACAAATTACGCGATATCGTTAGAAGGACGCCAATTCATTTTTTAGTTTCGTGTTCGGTAGGGAGGGGTAGGTGGCCAGCTTCCCAGAAACCTAAACTGATACACGTTTTCACCACCGTCGTCCTCGTCGTTACTGAAAGTTCTCGATCGGCGAGTCTCTCTCGGTGACGTGACCGCTCACGGTGGAGTGCAGGTTTGACTGAGCCGAGAAATCCAGAAACTAAGCTGGTCCCGGATTTGTTGTATCTTTTCTCTCTTTTTCTGTGCTCTGGCTCGTTCACGACCGACTACGAAAAGCTTTTGAACTCGTCGTGCCAGACATGTTGCAACAAGCGGAAATCAAACTTCCGGTTGTTCAAACATTGGATAGCGCTATCTACCAGATAGATCACTAGCCAGCGGATAAGTGTTACTTAAACTACCGTAAAATTCCGAAAATAAGCCCCTCTAAGTATAAGACCCTCCAAATATAAGCCCCCCAAACCGGTAACGTAAAAAACCCTCCTCTGTTAAATTGCCCCTCCAAATATAAGCTCCCCGGGAGCTTGTACTTGGAAAATTGCCTCAAATACAAAGTAAAACAAAGCAAAGACGGTAAATTTACTTCCAGCTATAAGGCTAGCCCAATCGATTTTGAATTGCAAATTTGCCTCCGAAGATAAGCCCCTCCAAAAATGAGCCCCTTAAAAAGGCCCTTTGAAAAATATAAGCCCGGGGGCTTATTTTCGGAATTTTACGGTAGTTGCGTAATCCACTGGATAGCGCTATCCTCCTTTTGAACAACTGGGGCCAGGACGCTTTGGATGTCTGCCTTCTCGTTACATGGCTCCCTGCCACCTATCTTGCCCAAGTTTGTTGTTTTTAACCTTTCCTGGGGGTACTTAACAAAGTTTTAAACGGGGAGGCTCCGCCCCGTGGTCCAACCACTTACCCTTTATAATTATACCATTTTGGGCAGTAAAGGAACCCCTTTCGTATACCTTTTATTAACAAATGGTACCCCTTTTCCATACCTAATTTACAACTTTGCATTTCTTTAAACTGCAGTAAATGCACTCTCTTTAAGATATGAATAAAGCCCAAACCAGAACGTTTTTTTCACAGCCATAAAAAGCAGCTGTTAGCGTGTTATTCCTTTTGGGTCTTTTCACGGTCCAAAATCATGACAGTATTTCCTACCCTTTCATATACCTGAAGCCTGAAAAAGTACCCCTTTCGGGGCGGAGCCTCCCCGTATAGGCCATCGTAGGGAGAATCCCCCGGGAACCATTCTCGTCCCTTGACCCCATCGTTTCTCTTGAACAAATTCAGCCGAGTGGCCCTGGGGACCAGAATGATTTGCATTACCGTATTCGTGAGATGTCAGGAGCCTCCTCAATATGATTAGGTGATTCTGATCCTGAAAGATGTATTGACAATCAAAGCTCAATTCTGTATTATTCTATCTGTTGTACATCACACCCAGGGGCGATAAATGTCATGTTAATAAACTTTTGGGTTTTTTTTGAGGATTCGCAATTGATAGGTTTAGTTTTAACCCCGATGAACGATCAGGGATTTTTTTAAACAAAGGTGCGCAAAGCAAAACAATAAAGGGTGTAATTGCAAAAACAAAACAGATTCAAAGAGATACGTGTTTCTTTATTCTGACAAAAAAAGGCCTTCAGTGTGGGCTTAATGGACGTAAATGGTGTAAACAAAAAAAAAGCTTCATAACTGTTTCCCCTGCGTAAATACAGGTATGTGCATACCCATAGTTCCAACCACACAAAGCTGACTCGAGTAACCCAGGTTTAGCATTTTTAGAATAGGTTAATTTATTTATTTGAATTAGTTTTTCTTTTTTTTTTTTTTTTTTATCATGATATTATTGTAATTTTTATAAGTCGTTTTTATTCGATTTCCAATTATTGTAAATTAAATCGGAAGAGCCACTGGCTGGAGATTTAATAAATTTACTACTACTACTACAACCTAGTTGAAGTAAGCCCTCAACCCAGGGGCGTTCCCCACCTCTGCCTCAACCTCCAACCTCAACTCAGACCTCTTGCCAGAGAAAAAGATCTGTGTACCAAATTAGTCAGTTATCTTCTAAGCAAAGGCAAGTGGGCACGCTTCACTCTATCCAAACAAAGATTACAAGTACCAGTTCCATCAAATTAATACATTTTATTGAACTTCAACTCAATGCAAAAGGAAAGTTTAACGGTAAGACTTCTGGTAGCGAGATCGGGCACCAGGTCCACCAAATTTCTTGGCCTCGCAACGGCGTGGGTCAGCCACAAGCAGGGAACGGTCGTACTGGACAAGGATGTCACGGATCTCTCTTTTGGAAACCTCATCCACAACTACAAAATCCAACAAACCATGAATTGTTAAAAGGTGGCTCTGCCCCCAAGGTGAAATGAAAGCAGCCTCTGACAGCTCAATTTTGAGCACAAGTCTGTTGATAATTTTTGTTTTGAAAAATGTGTAGTTATTCCCAGTTTTCCTCGATACTTCAATAGCTTATGAAAAGACATTCCCTTCCTGCAGAGTCAAGGGACACACACAGTTTACTTTGTATAAAGAGGAATGGTAGCTGAAACAATAGTTAACTGGTCCAGCCTGCCTTCTGAAGGATCAGTAAGCTGCTGCTTATACACCCTGGGTTTATAGATCTTTGGAAGGGGCTTTAGGCAGGCTTATCATAATTAGAGGAGCTTATATCCAAGGGGGCTTAAAACTGCAATAGAAAAAGCACTTTGAAAAAAGCTACAGTAGTGCTGATCAAAAATAGCTTTAGCATTTGCTGGTGTTTAATTAAGCTTCAAAATGTCATAATAAATCAAATTCATTTCAATACATTTGGAGAGGAGCTGATCAGTGGATGTACATTTTTGTTTAGAGGTAAAAAGGCCTATAACTGGAGGCTTACACTGTATAAGTGGCAGGGTACTCACATTTTTGATAGTAAGCTACCAAAGACTTGGCTATGGCTTGACGGATTGCTAAAGAAAAAAAAAAGTAATTAGTTAACTTTACTTTGCCACACAATGTTACTCATAGTTTAAAATTAATGTCCTTTGTTTCTGGGTGGAGCAACATACATTACAATAATTTAATGTCGCTAAATGAAATTCAGGCTGAGTCAAACTCGAGACAATGCTGGCCAGCAGTCTCTCACATTTTTGACGGTGCCCTAATAGCTTCGCAGGGGCCTTTGCTTTCACAGCTTTGCAGCTGAGGTTAGCCCATTATGTTCAGGTTGCTTCTCATTGTTCATGCTTGTTAGCCTGTTTTCTCCCTTCCCTACCCTCCCTTTGGTAAGTATATGATAAGTATTGTAGGTTCCACTGGTTAGCAGTGTGACAGTGCCTGCGTGGTTAGTGCTCTCGGCTACAGCCCTTGGCTCTGCCAACTTAAATCGTGCACCTCCCTCCCCCCCCCCACACTCATCTATGTTGATGAGTTTAATAATGAGTTTGACACAGTGGAAAATAATATTTGAACCACGGATAAAATTGAGCTTAACCTACTTTGATCAGTTATAAAAAAGATACTTAGCATAAGGCATACATTTTCTTTGTCTTAACAAATATAAAACAACTTGGCAATAACTAAACAGCAAGAGAGAAAAAATATACAACACACTTAGTTAAAATAACCAAAAGGTAATTATTTTTGGAAAAAAAATCTTTAATATTCTCCCTCTTCATATTGCTGTAAAAGTCATATGCAATAGGCCTCTTCAGCTTGTATGCTTTGTTTTCCCAAAGTAAGTCATGTGATAATACTCCAGAGAACTGTTCTTTCGAATTTTGTCTTATTTGTGTGCATACCAAAAAAATATTAAACTAAATAAATCTCTGTCATTTACTCTGGGCAGTATTTATAGCACTAGTTCTAGTGGGGCCGAGCAAATGCCTGAAACAAATTAATAATTCACATCAAACATCATGGAGGATCATCATGTTAAGAATCTCGACTGCCCAGAGACAAACCAGTTGACTATTTACAAGCATGGCCGAGGATTTGAACTCAGGACTACCAAAAACAAATCCAGCAAGCAGTCAGAGTGGGACTTGAACTCGGGGCCCCCTAATTGCAAGTCCAGCACTCTAACTGCTTGGCCACTCTGCCTCCTGTATGTGCACACAATTTATGAAAAGACAAAGGTGCAAATTACCGTGAGACCTGCATTGGGAAAACAAAACATAAAGCTTAAGTAGGTTGTTCTAAATCAACAAGTGACAGCAGTGAATGGTCCAGCGTGCAAAGAAAGTAGTGTCTGATAGCCTGGGGCTAGTGGATTTTGCCTACGGGCTAGTGAATTCTGTTTTTAACTTGCCCAATGGGCAAGTGATGTTTTTTGAGGAATTCAAATGACAGAAGAACTGTGAAATCAATTCTGCTAATCAAAATGTTTTTGGGGCTAGTTGAAGTGACGTCTGAGCTAGTAAATGCTAGCTTCAGCTTGCCCAAATGGCAAGCCGTACAAATGATTTTCTTTGCACCCTGTGGTTGCTGTATTAAGAAATGTTGGAGACAATACTATGCTCTTCTAACACTTACCATAAATCCTTGACACATGACCACCACCCTTAACTCGCACACGGATATCAACACCCTCAAATCGCTCCTTTCCCAGGAGAAGGATAGGCTCTTGAACCTAAGTCACAAAACACAACCAGTTAATGGGCTTTGCTCTCAATTTTAAATTTTTACATTAAAATAAGCCATCCCAAGTTTTATGAAATCTCCCAACGAACCACATGGTTCTTTCATAAACTGGAATCTAGGGTTAACATAAATAGCACACAGATGGCAAAAACCATGATCTTCTGACCGGCAGCTCTGCTGGCCTTTTACTTTGATTCTTAATTAAAAGATGGCAAGATCAGTCCCCTACTTTGGAATTACACGGCCTACATTAAGACGTTCTGACAAACCTGGGGATCAAGGCTTAATATTCTTATGCTTTAAAAAACAAAAATTCCCTTCCTCCCAAGGTACTGGTTATGTCGAAAAGAAACGTCTTCATGGGACATTCACTTTGTATCTTCAAGTACAGTACAAAAAAATAACAAATACCTTGTATCTAAGGGTTGATGGTTCTACTAGGTGCAAGGGACATCCATTTATCTTGATGAGGCCATTTCCACGCTTGCAGAAGGCTACAGCTGTGGCTGTTTTCTATAGAAACAATTGTCCACGAATTATTCACACTACACAAAAAAGTATCGTTCTGATAAAGATTTCTGAGATACAGCAATACCCAATGAGAGCGTTTATAATCATGCAACTGTTACTATTATTTTGTTCTCAGGACAGTAGTCCACCCATGATCATGCTCGGTGCTGTAATTAAACTGCAAAAAAAAAAATTCCACACAATCCCATGCAGTTTTGTTTATACAGGTACACTTTCTAACTCACACTCTATTAATTGTCAATATGATCATGAGGAACAGTCGACGTACCATATTTAAGGTTCATACGGGAACAACAAACCAGTTGATTATAACTGATTATAAGAAGCTTACTAAATTTCGGTCAGTAGTAAGAATAATTCACAGCCAGAAATGGGCTATCCTAGGTAAATAGTGATCCCCCCAAAATTCACGTGAATACAACTCAATGTCAAATACAACTGGTTTAACATAAGCAAACTGTATCAAACGTTGAACCGCTATTAAATTTACAATGCACGTGTCTGTTTGGTCAACATAGAACAACCAAAAAATCGTTCATTTTTTGCTTACCTTTCGTCCAAAAACTTGAACTGACTGAGACTGACTCATCTTAACACAAAGTACATATTGAATGAAATTAGATACAAATCAACGACACATTACGCCAAAAAATTCGACATTTAGATGTAGATTTCTCATACCTTTCTGTTCGAAACGAAGAGTTGAAGCAAGAGGGAGACAGCCTAGTGCGCATGCACCAATAAAGGCATGCATCATGCAAACGAGGCTAGATTTGAGAAATGGTATCTTGGAAGGAGGGGACTCTCGTTTCTAGGAGAGGGAGGCGAAGCACTGTTTGAGTTGTTTGTCTCTTTCCATATTTCGTTATCAGAAGTGTATTCAGTGATGACTACAGAGTTTATTCTTGCCATGAAAATACAATAAATAGGATTGAATTCATGCAAAAATAGAAAAGAATTACAACCCTGTGAACTCAGCCGGGTGCAGGGGACACACTTCCTTCCTCGCCCCTAAAACAGGCAAACACACAAAAAAATAAATATGTCTGAAATAGTCGTATAAACTGACTAGCGTAACCAGGAAAGCAGCCGTCAAATATGAGCTCCTGATTCAATCTCCTCCAACTCGTGACTGGGATAGTACAGAATTAAACATGATCACCTTGGGGAAGAGTAGAGGTTGCCATAGTAGTTGTTCCGAGTTATCATGTCAGGAATCCTGACATCATTTATCGATTTTATGTGGTTAATTTTAAATGAAGTTGGGATAAGGGGATATACACACCTATTTCGCTCAAGTAACTTTCACTGATATATTCCGTATCCCTCATTTCCTATTACCAGCGCGTGCCATTTTGAAAGGCTCAGAATGGCATTGTAACGGACTTTCAGGAGATCAGGGGGGAGCAGGTATGAAAATGACGGCGCCGTCCCTTTTAGGGGTAAAAACGCAGAGAAGATAGGGGGCGAGAAAGGTACGGTAGGCGGGAAGCGGAGTCCTGAAACGGTGGGTAAAGGATTAGAAGGCCCTTGCTGATGTTTTTCCTTAAGCGGAAAGTTTGAGTACCTCACGTGTGAGATGCTGTTAATTTAAGCGGACATCTCCCTTAGAGACTTAGTGCCGGTCCTAAAAGTGTCCGTCTTAGATGGCGTTGTCGGAGTTGACTGAGGGCTTTTAACGGCAAAGCCCTGGGACGAGGTTGTTTATTTGCATTTGATACTGATAGCGACATGTCGTCGCCGAAACGTCAAGTTTTTTTATCGCGCTCAATACTTAATTTCGCCATCGGAAAAAGGGCTTTAAGGAGAAAGCCAAGAAAAAAGGGGAGCGGGAGGCGGAAGGTTATTGTAGTATGTTTTAGGGCCTTTAAGGGCGTTGAGTCAAAACAACTTAGTCATGGACCCGATATCTATTTACTCAATTGTTTTCTTTTTGGTATAGTCAACTTGGCTCTCTCAGACAGACCCGGTCGGGACCAGCAATAACTGATCGTCTTAGAGAGGCGTCTGTCTTATAGAGAGTTTAGCAACAGTAAAGAGCAGAAATCAACACTACGTGTCCGTCTTAGAGAGGAGTCTTTAAAAGGGGCTATGCCGCCGGGATATTGCCGTTTTAGATCAGTTAGGTTAATAATGAAGTCATTACTTTCTGCCTCTACCCATACACAAAATGCCCTTGTACAGTTAAGAAGATAGTATCAAACAAATTTCATCAGGGAGCACTAACCATAATAATGTTTTTGTTGATTTAGTTGCAGGCATAGCTTTAAAACTTGAAAACGTTGGCCCAACATTTCAAGTTTCAATCGATGTCCATCCTAGCCTGCGTAGCTGGCGGGATTCTTGTAGACTACGAGTAGTCCCCCATTTTTCCTCAGGGATAGTAGAGCGAGCAAAACGCGAGCGCGCGTGAAATTTCTCGCGTGGGTTGATTTTCACGCGCGCTCGCGTTTTGCTCGCTCTGCTATCCCTGAGGAAAAATGGGGGACTACTCGTAGTCTAGGATTCTTGTGCCCGGGGTACTTTCTTGACTGTAGCCTGTGAGCAAGCTCTCCATTTGCGGGATATCGTGAAAAGTACACGCGCGAGTGGCACGCGAGGGGAGACGCTAGAAATATGTGCCCCGAAAAAACCTCAGGAAACTCGGGAAACAGGGCAACTTTAAGACGTTAAGCCCTGACGGACAATGTTAGAAAGTGGATGGGTTACCAACCTAGTAAATTGTTTCATTATTACTTTATTCAGAGCAACAGCACAGGATAAGCTCTCATTATCTTCAATTTACTTTTATTTAATCTGGCTCTCAATTTAAGTGTTATTTTAATGGTATTCTTAAGCTACCTATTAAGGTTTCCATTAATTTTATTATTTTTATCGTGAAGCCGTATGTCTTCGATGATGATCCCATTCTATGAAAATGAGGAAGAGAAGACCATCGCTGGTTCATTTGCAAGATTATAAAACGTTACCCTCCAAACATGCTGGGAGTAGAAAACTGCAAGAAAACAACGAAAGAAATTAGTTGCTAATTGATTAAACAGATCTTGGGATCTTCACTGGATTAAAGGATGAGATGGCTGGGTATTAGTAAGTTCGTTTTCCTGCCATCTGGTCCTAACAAGCTTGGCCAATTAAGACACAGAATAAAGGATTTACTTATTCAATGCTGTGCAGTTTCATCGTGCTTTGATATGAAGACAGAAAACAAGGTAACGTTGTTTATTAGTTTAAATGGTTTATTCTGGAAACAGTTCCAAAAATTGACAAAATTAAGTGCATGATCCAAATGTGCCAACTAAGTATCTCTTGGAAGCTTCAGCTGTGTTGGCGGATTATTCTACAGTTAGGGCTAAGTGAACTACATTTTTTTTTGGGGGGGGGGGGGGGCTATAAAAGAAGCAAATTACGCACCCAATCCCCCACTCCCACACATTGAGGTGCAGAGAAAAAAATTATTTCTTTGACAGACATATTGTGCTAAAACCCTCGAACCTGCCGAGGCAAAACTGTGGAAAGTTGTTTGTTTTTAAAACAGCACGCTCATTTAAGAATAAGATGATACTTACAGACATCACCCTGATTTAACTGAAACTCAAACTGCTCACATTCGTTTTCACAGTCATCAACTGGAAAAAGGGTGATAGTTGTTGAGCCAGTCACCTGAGCAATCCAAATACTGTCAAAAGTACCACGTGCCTAGAGATGGATAAGATCAGTATGAGTGCATAGAAGATTACCTAAGAGCATTTATGTGGAATAGATTCTTAAGGCATTGACCAAGTTAAATTGATCAGTTAAAAAATATCATTTACAGAGGTCTTTTAGAGTGTATTCAATTTCTTCATCCTCCTCTATTACTATCAAGCAGCAGGCACACATGTGCATAACAAACCTATTTAACAATTGCTTCACTAGGAACAGGCAAATAAGCTACAATGTATGTATTTTGTGGGTTAGAGTGAAACTCAGCCCCAATTTCCTTTGTCTTCTATTTTAGGGTTAACAAAAAGGAAGGAAAGGGAGAATGAACCTACTGATAGGTTGGAACTATTTTAACCTTTGTGTATTTTTGACCTACAACTTACGTAATGCATTGCATTGTACTCTTGTTGTGAAAGAAAGATAAATTTACACACTTTAGATCAAGTCGGGGGAGTCACTTTAAGTCTTATTCCACATGCTCCTTGACTTGATTACAGTCAAACATCAAAAAAGGAAAAGACCAAGAGGACAAAACCCGAATGTCTTAACTATAGAGGTACTGCAATATGTACAAAGTTCATTTTCCCTCTCCTTTCCAGTTACAGTCTGAAACACACCAGTATACCTACCTCATAAGTACAGTTGAATGTGAACACGGCATAAAAATATCATGATAGGATATAGAATAAAATTTTGCTTTGCTAGAAAATGAGGTGGTCAGTAAGAAGTAAATGGGCAATGAAAGTGTAGTGAATAAGAAGTGGATAGAGTAACTTCTGACAACAAACAATGCAGGCAGGGCTGCCACTAAGATTTCAAGTTGTTGGGTATATGAAATTAGTGGGCAGGGAAATGAAGAGCTGGGAAAATCCTTTGGTTTTATTTTACTTTTGCTTCCTATGAAAGTAGCTAGGGGTTATGCTCATAGAAGCCAGGGAAAAATTCCCAGCCCCTGGTTCTTAGTAGCAGCCCTGACTACAGGGTAAGCAGAGTACTTACGGCCTCTGAAATGATTTCTTTATCAGTGACACCTTCTTCCAATGGTTCACCTGGTTGCAGCAGATAAATTGATTTGTCTAAAGCACCCTCACTGTGAATGCAGTAAGGACGAGGAAACATGGTTCGCAGCATTCTTAAGCCCTTACCATAGCAAATCTTCCTAAAATGACAAAACAGAAAAAAATCAGGTCATGTTCAATTCTACAGAAAACATTTTGTGTCTTCTGTTTATTCTCTCTTCTCCTGTCCAGCCCTTTCTGATCCCCGTCTTCCCTCTTGCCTACCTGTTCTCCACTTCTCTGCTCTTTCCTCCCTTTGCTTTGTACCTCCTCTTCTCTCCTTACATCACTTCATGCCACATCTCTTCCTTTCCATTTGATTACCTCCTCCCCTGGCTTCCCCTCTTTGCTTCACTTCTAGCCAACCTTTTCCTTTCCTTTACATCATTTCCCCCCTCCCCTCCCCTCTCTACTCCTCTTCTCGTAAATTTTTTCCCTAATACTTGAAACCCATTCCTTTCCTATATCCCCCTTTCTCTCCGTTCCCTTCCCTTTACACCCCTCTACTTAACTTACCTCTTTTTCACTTCATGCTACTTCTCTTCTTTTCCATTACCTCCTCCCTGTCTCCTCCTTCCACTCTTTGCTTCACTTCTAACCCCCTCTTTTCTAGCTTTACTTAACATCCTTACCTCTCCCGACTCTGCCATGCACCATTTCTCATAAACCTCTTTCACTTCTTGATACCAGTACATTCCTTTCCTACAGTGTACACCTCCTTTACTCTCTCTTCTCTTCCCTCCCCTCTTCCTTTGCTTTGCATTTTCACTTTTTGCCACTTCACTTCCTTTTATCTACCTCCTCTCCCCTCCTCTCATTTCCCCTCCCCCCTATTTTCCATCTTTCCATCCCCACTCTTCTTTCCTTAATACCCCCTCCTCTCTTCTCCCTACAAGATGCAAAAAGATCACCATAACTAGAGCTGGATAAGCTGGGTTGTGTTGGCAATCCTTCAAAAAGGAATTGTCCCAAAACAAAAGCTTTGAATTTTTAGAAAATTAATAATGTCACTAACCAAGATATGGTTTTTCCCGCTGCCTGGTAATGGTTCCACTCTGCCAAGAATTCTGTCAGGCTTTTGACTGATTCATTTAAAGCTCCATTTGTGTAGAACTCACAGGCATCATGCTCCAAGTCTGCTTGATTTTCCTTGAAAAATGTCATGAACTTTTCAAAGCTGTGCTCTGTATCCCCATAAGCTGGCATGTTCCTCACTAAAACAGGGTACCCAGTGTCATAGTAGCGCCTTTTGAAGGTTGCCTTTGTGAGATTTGCACTGGAGCGGGCTGCAATTTTCTTCACGGACTTGCATAATTCACAGTCAGGTTTATCTGCAAAGACAGGTGAAATCAATGGAAACTGTAGCAGGTTATTACAGACAAACCACCACTAACAGCCACTTCTCCACAATGGCTACCTCTCAAAAAAAGCCAGTTTTTTTGTCCCCGTGGACAAATAAAATTATCCATACAATGACTGTTGTTTAAACCTCTCTACAATGGCCACCTCTTTATAATGGCCACTTTCTTTGGTCCCCAAGATGGCTGTTTTGAAGAGGTTCAACCATAACACAGATTTCAAACACAGTTTACAAAACCCACCCTCTAAGTCCTTTTGAATCAGGCCAATTCTCAAACCTTAAGATTGTATACTTGCTGTCAACAGTATCAAGAAGAGTTACAACCCAGACATGCATAGTACTTCAATCTCATAATATTTACAAACAGATTAGGAGGGTGATTGGGTGCCCCAAATCACAACCTATTCTAGGTTAAAGTGGTGAACATTTCAATAATTCTAACAACCTTTACTCTTGATTTCATTAATATTGACAGGAGAAAAATAATCATTATTGATGTTTGTCGCTCTTGAGACTTTTAGGGTAAAAAAGATTTGACTTTTCCATTTACAAGTCTGTGCTCTAAAGAACAGAGGATGTATTGCTTATCTGACCCTAACCTGTGAAATTTAGGCTACGCAGCCTATCATTTTCACCAAAAACGCAGCTTCCTAGTCACCCAAGAGCAAACTTAAGGTGTCAGGGGCAATCAGGTGCCACTACAGCACAGCTCTGAGTTATTACCTGGAGTATACAATGGATTATTCACCATGCATTCCCAAGAACTGAGCTTTGATAAGTCATAGATACGATGAACGGGAAGAGACATAAAACGAATGACTCGCTGCAGGGGGTACTGAAGGTCAGCTGTTGCCTGTCCAATGTACAACCCAATTGATGGATTTGCACTACTTAACAATGACACTGTCATGTACAGTACAACTGGTAACAACAGAATAAATCCTGCCACTTGTAAACAACAACAGAGGTAGCTGCGGTTCTTGGTTTTAGTTTTACTGTCATCCTTAGGAGGAGATTGGGAAGGTCTTTCTGCAAAATTGAAAACAAATAAAAGAGATACCTGTTCAGCAACATTTAAGCTGTAGTTTTTAACATTAATTTTGATTTTCCTTTAATGAAAAAACTAATAGGCCATCCTAAAAAAAACAAAAGGAGTGTCGTAGTTAACCCATTTTCACTTGCAATAATTCTTTTAATCTGAAAAATGAGCATATTAACAGCATAGAGAAAAACAGGAACAAAAACAGGAAGATTTTTTACATTATATTGTGCATTTTGTTAATCCAAATATGTTAATGTTAACTTTTAACGTCATCCTGGGGTACCAGGGCCTCCTATTCCGATACTTCTTGTGATTTTTTTTTTAGGTTTTTTTTTTTCAAATATCCGGCCGACCGACCCAATATCAGGAAACGCATTCGACGCTAAAGGAAAAAAAATGAGGATTGCCATAGAAATATACAACAGTGTTCTAAAAACTCTCAAAGGGTATATAAATAGGCAAATAGCCACGTGGGTTCAATATTCGTTTTTATGTGGGTTGATGGAAATGTGTGACGTTTTGGACCAACTGAAATAGCAGTCGGTTGATCTTCAATATAAGCTTTTAGCATGGCTAACTAACTTCAATCTGAATGCTAATGTTAATTCTTTATCCACGAAAATCAAAATAAGCTTGTATATCTGTCAGTATAGATACGAGAAACAGAAATACTCTTAAGTTAAGTATGAAGTCAATCGAAAGTATATGTATATATTCTGCTTTCATCAAGATGAAAAAGAAGAGAAAGCTTTTAAAATTTATACGCTTACCTCCCAAAGCGCGCAGAATGGCCTCGTCTATTTGCTCTTTACTTAGACCCCAGCTTGCACCCTTTTCTCGCAGTTCTTTAACTTCTTTCCTTAAAAAGATACCTGTAACTTTATCCATGACGAAAACGTGCGAATCGAACACTTTTTCGCTAGGAGTGAACGAGAGAATATCGATGAGTCACTATAAAGTGGAAAATATTCTTTTGTGTATGATTGCGCATCTTCGAGTGCTTCCTCTTTCTCCTCTCTAGGGTGGGGGCGGTATTTTATCGACCTCTTGTTATCAAATTTCCTGATTGTCTTTTTAGAAAAACCATAGTATGGTATACTTGAAACTTGAAATGAGGGTTACAATCAAAGCGCTGGCCTCTTTTTATTTTCTTTTTGGCCGAACAAAGCTGAAAATTTCTACATAAAAATCCTTCTTTTCTACCTCCCCTCCCTAAGCCCTATGAGTTGTATTGGCCGCTTCTTAGGTTTTCCACTCTATGTAAGTGGAAAACTACTGTCTTCGAACATGAAAGTGAGTCTGAAAGCGCGGCTACCAGGCACCTTCATTTTTTGTGGACGCTTGACTCTCAAAATCCAAAGTTTTTCCTTTGTTCGTCCCTTTTTGGCGTGATATTTCAGCATGGCAGGTGTCGAGGAATTGTACAAGCAGTTTGGAATCCTCGCAGACGCGAAAGAAAAGGCGGGAGAGGTAAGGACTTGTTGAAATGTTTGCCAACATGGTGCCGGTTGCACCTTTCACGTGGACGTCAAAATTAAACGTCCTTTACCTTTACCTTTATTAATTAAGTTAGTAAACCTGGTGAGGTATCACACAAACTTTTTGAAGAAAAAAGAAAGAAATGCATATACATTGACTAGGCTAGTTTGGATTGTAGGTCATATAAAAGTTGTCACTTTCTCCTTGAACACAGCTGGCGATGGAGACAACATGCACACTACCCCTGCTGGGAGCTGATTGCACCCCCTAGAGGTCCTCGGTAAAAAGAAAAATTTAAAAGCATTCTTAGGGCTAAAGGACATCTAGAATTTATACCCATGACTGTTCATTGTTCTTGTTTCCTTGGAGAATTGCAAATACTCTGAAACCTCTATTAAGCGGACACCTTCGGGACCTTCCCAAGTGTCCAGCTAATAGAGGGTCTCGGCTTAATAAAGGTTGTAAAAATTGCGGTTACGGTTACTCTGGACTGTGATAAAGTTGCATGTTGTTAAAGAAGCTATCCAGAGTTCAAGTTCATCACCAACTTTATTACGTTTGTGAATGCAAAAACATTTGACTTCAGTCCTTATTTCAAGGACATAATCCCATAGTACTATTGTCAATTCAGTCTGGTGTCCACGTAATAGAGCTTTTTAACAATCGAAATTAGCCAAATACACCTTATTTTAGTGTCTGCGTCCGCTTAATAGAGGTGTTTGCTGAACAGCAGTTCATTATAAAGGGAAAACTCAGACATTAATTTCAGGACCCGGCTTAGTGTCCACTTAATAGAAGGTGTCTGTTTAATTGGGGTCAGCTTAATAGAGGTAATTAAGTATATTCTAATCAATGAGTCTGTGAATAATTTTGTACATCTTACATACTGTAGGCGACTTAGTTTTCTTTGTGTTTCAAGGGGTTGGAGGCCAAGACTACAGTATCTAACATAGCCTGCGTAGCAAGCGTTTCCAATTGAGTTATTGCACGAAAGTTAGAGCGGAAGTCAAAAAAAAGGTTGAAGGGGGAGGGGGAGGGGAGAAGAGGAAACGCTTGCCCGCAAACCCCACGATTCTGGAAAATGACAGCCTTGATAACGAACAGGTTACCCCGGTTCATTTGTAAAATTGACTTTGTTCTCTCAAAATAGAAACATAAAAACAGATTACCCCTGGATTACCAGATTTGTAAAATTACTTTGTTCTCTAATAGAACACGCGGAAGGCGATTGCAAAACTGTAATAAAAAAGATTACAACGACCAAAAAGAAGGTTAAAACTATGCGGAAAAAGCGATTGCTGCAGAATTTCTTGTTTTTTATTGTGTGGCTCTATCTCGATATGACCTGAAACCTTGTCGACAACGTTCATCTAAAAAAATGATTTGTCCGGAACAATTCACTCCGTCTAATAGCCAAGATAAGTATTAAATAAGTTTTTTGCATGTATTTGGCGGCGCGGTATTTCGCTTTTTTCTTCATCCTGTGTCGAAAACGTTCTATACAATAGATGAAGCCCTGAATAGAAATTTCCAATAAACAAAAATAAAAAGATTTTCATTTAAAAAAGATTGGCAAATTTCTTGCTTGCTCATGGCTGAAACCTTTCAAGCATCAAAAATGATTTGTCCGGAACAATACCGATGTTTCCGATTTATGTTGATGTTATCTCCAACAAACAGTCCATTTTTTCCAGTCAGATCCAACAAACAGTCCATTTTTTCCAGTCAGCCATCATTCTCAATAAATTGGCCTTCCCTAGTCTCCACTGCTCGATCTCCAATATTATACTTTGAAGACTCTGATCTCATAAACCGTCGCACAAACATGATTCCAATAAATATCAGTCCAAAGCATTTGTAATCTGTGACCACAAATCAGATGAGACCAGATCTGACGCACGAAAACAAAGCATACGTGGTTTGATTGATGTTTTGAATGCTAAGTAATCAACACTACCCGCACTGCGCCAATCAGAAGCCGCATTCGTGGGCGAACGCAGTTTTTCAAAATCGTGGGGTTTGTGGGCAAGCAGTTCCTTCGTTTCCCTCCCCCTCCCCTGTCATTAATTTTTTTTGCTCTTGTTCCAGCTTTCTAGACGAACCTCGTGAGGAAACGCTTGCTACGCAGGCTATATCTAACATAATGCTAAAGCTGGAAGTATAAAGTTAATCACTCTTATAGAAGTGTGCTGCAACTCTTTGCTTACCTTCTAGTCTAGGAATATCACATTTATAATAATTATAAATTATTTGGATCCCAGACTGACGTTGCAAACTGGAGTTTAGGTCTTACTAACGTTTTATACAAGGTCACTTTAACTTTTTCGTCACAGAACTAACAGTTTCACCTTGTGAGACCTAGGATCTTATTCGCACCATTAACAACGAATTCAATATGTTCCTTCCAACATAATTTGCTATCTAACTCAACACCCAAGTAGGGATGGGAGGTCAAATTCTCTAGTATTTGTTTGCAAAATCATAAAATTTATTGGAGTCAGAGTTTTCTTCAGGTTCAAGCACATAGTGGAAAATTTTATAGGGTTAAACTGCATTTGCCATAACTTTTGCCATTCATCAAGCGTGTACAATGTTTTGATGCTTTTTAATACTAATGTCCATTATTCTTGTTTTTAACAGCATGAAAGCGCATTTATATCGATTTTAGCTGCTGTGAAAGGCTCTCAGGCGGAGAAAAGGCTTGCTTCCCAGTTCATCGCCCGATTCTTCAAGTTCTTTCCAAAGTTGCAAGAAAATGCCATTGATGCTATGCTGGATTTATGTGAGGATGAGGATAATATGGTAAATGAACTTGACTGCAAAATACTTGATAACACCAGATCACTTCATAACACTATTTGAACCATTGGTTTTTGAAGTAAAAGCATTTACTGTGCTGTAGGTTTTCCAAAAGTTACTACAGTGAGATTCCTCACTACAGTATATCACATCTTGACTGCTGTCTGTTTCTGATGTCATCAGATCCGACGTCAAGCCATAAAAGGTCTGCCTGACCTCTGCAAGGACACACCAGAACATCTCCCAAGAATTGCAGATGTTCTGACCCAATTATTGCAATCAGGTATGGTATTTATTTCATGGCAGACTTCAAGAAATCAGAGCTGTTTCTGTTTCATTAGATATACCAGCTGTGATTAGTGATTAGGAGCAAATTTCTCCTGATAGTATCAGTCCTGTACAGAATCAGGAAGGTTGTAAAAACATCACTCAATATTTAGTTTTCTCCTGATAAAAGTAAAGGTCCATATTTTATGTCAGTAACTCATAACAGTCATAATTTGACTGACAAACCCAAGGCTGTCAGACAACTAATGATTAGAAAGGGGATTAATATAGTTATTATTTTAATCCCCCATCTTTCCATCAGTACCTTGTTGTATGAGTAATTTTAAAGTTTCTTTAAAAAGCTATACAGAAAGGAAAGAAGTCAAAACAAGGATTTGAGATCACACCTGGGAATTGAACTTGATTTAACTTACTGTAATAATTCTTGCTCATTGATGTGTTGTTACGTCTTCTCTCTAGTAATGCTAGCAATATAATTATGCTATACCAGTAATTAGAATTTGTATTTTGGTTCTAAGTTCATATGACCAGCCTTTTTCAATGGGTTACCATGGGTTATTCCTAAAATTACCAGCTTGTGAATCCCTACAATATTGTTGCCAATTAACTTTGTATGATTGTGAAAATATTATTCCTTATCTAATGAACAATGGTATATATGCACAATTCAACCCTCCCTCCCCTGGCCCTCACCACCACCACCATAGAATAGAATGACTTTTTGCAGTTTATGGTAGTCTTATTCTAAAGTGCCACTTCCAATAATTGTTTTCAGCAGTGAGATTTTGTAAGTGCCTTATAATTTATCACTATTTCCCTTGCAGATGACCCGACAGAGTTAACCATTGTCAAGAATGCACTTACATCACTATTTAAAATGGAGCCTAAAGGTAACTCTCAAACTTACAATAACATGCTAAAAGAAATATCCATGGCATTGCCAAAATATCTACACACTGTTCATGTGCATCACCACATTAATGTTCTTTAACCCTCAGGGACTATTGGAGGGTTATTTTCACAAATTCTCAGCGGGGAAGAGGTGTCACGAGAGAGTGCTATCAAGTTTTTACGTGGTGTTGTGGAAGAATATGGCAAGGCAGTATTAAATCCATCACAAGAAACAGAAGAGTACCTTGTTGAAGAGATAAAAAAGGTACGTCTCAGGACATTATTATAAAATAATAGCAGGTACTAGTCCACAATTGAGAAATGTCCCTTGGTAACAGGGTGCAAAGAAAATCATTTTTACAGCTTGCCATTCGGGCAAGCTGAAGCTAGCATTTACTAGCCCAGACGTCATTTCAACTAGCCCCAAAAACTTTTTGTTCTTCTGTTATTCAGATTTCTCATAAAACATCACCTGCCTGTCGGGCAAGTTAAAAACAGAATTCACTAGCCCGATAGCAAAATCCACCAGCCCCCGGGCTATCGGACAGTACTTTATTTGCACGCTGGGTAAGCTTCTACAAGTAAGAGCGGTCATTGACATTCCTGATATTGTTTTCAAATCTTTCATAAAGATTCTCCTTAGCTGGTTGTTAAGGTTAAAATTTGATTTAAGTGGCTCTACTAACAGTTTTCATTTTCTGTAGAAGCTACTGTATACCCCAAAATGTGTGTGCTTTATTTTATTTTTATGACTTGAAAGAGGCGTCAATGGACTCAAACATTCTGCTCGTGACACATGTATTTCTAGAACATTTTGAGCATTGTAAAGTGTATCATAAGGCTATGAAAACAGCCACAAGCATGAATGTGTGACAGAACTTTGTGGCATATTTTATTGTGGTTAATGATGATCATCTCTCGGCTAATTAAATGACAGTTACTCTGTATGACATGCACCTGTTTGTGCTTTTGTCACAGTACTGGTCATGGTGTTTACATCTTGTGAATGTATCTGAGACCACAGTTTTTGTCAGCCTTGGCATAACTAATTATTCTCCTCATAAATAATTCCCAATGCTTGATCAACTGTGAGGTTTGTGAGAATAAAAGAACATACAGTTGCAGCTCTCATAAGCGACCACCTGGGAAATTTGAAAAAGTGGTCATAACTTACAGTGCAACTACTTTACCCGGGGCCAGTTAGACAAAGTTGACCAATCAGATTACAGGAAAATAACGATACATTCCTAGAAAGTTGGTTGTGGGCCAATCAGCAGCTCGTAAAGAAATGATAAGTTACTAAAATTTAAGTATTGATTGCAAACATTTTTCAACAAAGCAAAATATTTCACCAGACAATTTTTATCTATTTGAAACTTAATATATAACACCCAGGAGACATGTTTGACACACGCTGTTATTTTGTTATCTACAAGCAATTTCTGCGCTACCATTGCCACACTTTGCAATAACATGTGACTTCAAGTCAAAATAACATTTACATTTTTTGCCTTTTAATGTAATGTTATTTTCGTGTAATCCAATAATTGGTCAACTTTGTCTAGGTGGCCCCAGTTATAGTAGTCATACTGTAAGCTGGTCGTTTATGAGAATGAGCTCTTGTAGGCGACTGTATGGTAAAACAATAGAGGGTGGTTGCTTACAAGAGCTGTAGAAACTCATTAATAATTCATAAAGGAAAACAAAAGAAATCAATATTTTATGAGTGTCTTTATATCTGTTAAAGAAACGGCGAAACTTTATGAGTGGTGATCACGGTCACTTCATGTTTGTGGTGTGACTCTTGTTGTGTTCATCCCCAAAAGTGAAAACTGGGAGTGTTTTTCCCACCTTCTGTCACGCCACTTTCCACCATGCTTTGATCACGTGCTGTAATGTATCCCGAGCAGGGTACAATTGCTCATGATCAAATGTATCACAATCTGGATACATTTGATTTTAGCAAGGCCATGTGACCAAGAATCAACCAATGGAAGTCCCTCTTTAGTTGAGTGAAAGTCTAGGAATATAGCAGTAAATATTGTGATAGAATCAATAGTGGGCCTAACTCTGGTAAGGACAATGCATGTTCAAGTGTTGACTGGTTTTCGCTTAATAGGCAATGGCAGATGTCACAGGGGAAGAATTTCGTACATTTATGACCATCCTCTCATCTCTGAAAGTTATGGCCAGTGCCCATCAAGAACTTGCAGATATTGTTACAGAGCAAGCTGAACTTAACCAACCTTTCCAGGTAAATCACATGCAATAAAAGAAAGATTTACATTTACCTTAATATTAATTTGTGGGTCATCATGTTGGTACAACCTCCTTGGTTTTCAGGTAAGTGGCAAAATGATTTTATCTATTGTCACATACACAGAGTAAATAAAAACAGTAAAAAAAGAATTTAAAGACTGAATATATAATATATGTATTAATAAAACAATCTGCCTGGACAATTTTTTTGTGGTTGTTATGAAATAATACTGTTTTAACCTGTGCTAAATGTCTCTACAATTTGGATCTTTTATTCAGGAACTAAGAATGTATTCTCGTATTAGACTACATTATTTTATTGGTTTTCTGTATCAAGAGGAAAACAAATGGGATATTTATTTATTTTATGTTGATTCTTCCAGCCTACTGATCCTGATATTGTAGACAGATTTTTGTCATGTGCAAGACAAGCTATTCCATATTTTGTGGTAAGAATTTAGTTTACAATAACATTTTATGTTGTCTCCAGTTGACTTTCTCAGTAGAGACAGTAGTGTACTGTACAGTGTGGAGGACAGACCTTTCTAAAAGGGCATCAGTGTTGGGCTTGTCTCATTCCTCTCCTTCTCTGTAACTGTTTTCTGCAGGATTAAAATAACTAGAAAGCCAAGCACAAAAGAACCATATAATCTTTTGCAAAGATTTAAGTTGTTTTTAATCAATCAATTTACAAGTACATGCTGTAATAGTCATTGAAAGGCTATGCTCTAGCAGCACCCGGTGGCCCCTGCTGCCTAACGTTTGCTCCCAGGCAATGAGAAAACGTATGTTTTTTTCATAAAAATCATATGCTAGATACCCTGGATTTCGAAGGTTCAGAGGCTGCCAGGGCTCTCTTCAATTTTTCTTAGACGTACAGCCTTGTTGCTAGTCTTAATGCAAACTGATGTTTTGACAATAAGTAATAGCTACTCCATCTGGCAAATTATTTTTTTATACTATATGAGGAGTGCTTACCATGTGTAGCCTTGATTTTGTATATTTATTTATTGGTACATGTACTCCAGGGTGGGACAAAATTAAAAGTGCTGTCCAAAAGCCCAGGGCTAGTGTAGCAGTCCGCTGGGCGAGCATGTGTAACTAATTATTAGTTGTCTGACAAACATGCAACATTTGCTGTGATAAAGTAAATTAATGTTAGTGAAGAGTGGGATTGGTAGACCGGTGCAACTGCTTTGGGCAAGTAAACTTCAGCATTAGCTTGCCCATTTGTCATTTGGTAGGCCATTTGCAATAGTTGATCTGCTGATCGACTTTTTGTAAACATGAAAACAAAAAATTGAGCCCCATAATGGTTAAGGAAATATTTTTCGACAGTTTGACAATTTCCAAATTTTCAAGGATTTGTATGGAAAATCACTCAACCATGACTGGGAGGCAAGAACCGTTTTTCCCATACAAACCCTTCTAATTTTGAGCAGCCAAAAATTTACAGGCTACCTAATTTTAAAATTCTCATACAGTTCCCACCAACAGGATATTCTAAAAGTAAACTGTTATTGTGTTTACAGAAAGTTGATCATGTGATCATCTTTTACAAAAGTCCTATGTTCAACTAACACAGAACGTATTACTTCCTATACTGTAGAAAGGAGCATCAGCACAAACATTCTTTACCTACATAGTGGAGGGTGTTCTTCCAAAACTAAATGAACTGGTTGCATCAGATGGTGAAGATATCAAGTTAGATATGTTGAAATTATGTGCCGAGATGTCACCACATGGTTTGACAGATGAAAACATCAAAGCTGCTATTGAACCCATTTATAACTTGTTACTGGTGAGGTTTATTTCAGACTTCTTAAACTCATTAATTATTCATGCAGTCCAAAGCCAATAAATGACGACCATTATTTTGGGTCAGGTGGATGAATCTTGATACCTTATGAAACACCAGATAAAACATTACCAAGTTTTCAACTGAGATGAAACATGTTTTTCATCCGAGAGCAAACACTTGCATTTTTGTGAGATGTTTTTCGATTAATACAACTCATGGAAACACTGCAATACCAAACGTAACGCTGCATGATTTCTTATTGTTTCATATGAGAAGACATGTCAAAAAGTAAGGCTTTTCAGGCGTTGATTTAGGGTAAATACTAACCAATTTCCTAATGAGTGCCCAAGGCGTTAGCTTTTAGGGGAAGTCCAGAAAATCTTTATTGAAAATTCATTTAACCCATTCGCCCCTGAGAATTTTGCCAAAAAACACCTTTTGAAGCAAGTGGAGCTGTTTTCTAGTCATTGTCTGCCTATAAAGAGCTAAAACTTACCACAAAGATGTTTGCAGGTGGTACATTTTGCGGCCTTCTGATCCACCTGCAAAATATCAGCTTGCAAAGTTTGGGCAAAATTTTGAGATTATAGTTTTTGGGTTTAAAAGTCACACAGCAGTCTTGACTTCTTCTTTTTGCTTTTTTTCCTCCCCTCTTCTTTCACTTTTCTTGCCTGATTTTTTTTTCTCTTGCTGGGCATTTAGTAGGCTTCATTTTGGTGAGAAAAGTTTTTGGGAAGGCTTTTAGGATTAGATGAAAAGAAAAGTAGGTGGGTAGTGGAACAAGATCTTCATGGAAATATTTGGGTCAATGTTACATGGTTTTTAATCCTTTTCTCTGGTCTCCTTGACTGAATTGTTCTCATTTTGTTATGGTTTGAAAGATCTCTTCTCTCTCTGTAAGGTAGCGGACAAAGTTGTCCTTCGCTGTTATAACTGATGACATCAGAAGCCGTAGAAGGGACCTGGATCTGCATGGGTGGTTTTTTGTAAAATGGTGGAAAACGATGTGGATCCACTCCTGCTTTGTGCTTCATCACGGGTTCCAAACGCCTTGAAACAGATGAAAACAGTCTTGCTATGGCCTTGTCTGTTTCTTGGTGTCTGGAACCCATGATGAAGCACTCGCCCTTGTTTTTGACTTTAAATACTATACTGTTTATCATTGTGAGTAGTTGTTTTTTCACACCTTCCTTTGTCCCAGGAATACATGCCTCTACCACCAGGGGAGGAGGAAGAGAAGAGTTCTGACCAAAACTCTGAGCCAAAGCTACAGTTTTCCTATGTTGAATGTCTTATTTTTGCATTTCATCAACTAGCAAAGAAGGTATGATGAAAGGTCCCTTATTACCACTGCTTTCCACCCATTTTTTTTGATGTGGTTCAGTTTTCCACTGGCCAGCACTTTTGTGTTGAATATTCTTCAGCACCTAAAGATTTTAGTAATAATACAGCATTTTAAAGAAGTGTAAAAGCAAATTTGACTGCCTGGCATTTGAAATGTTTTTTATTAATGAACTGAGACCTACATGTAGTCTCAATGTACAATCAGACACACTTCGTGCAAGAGTTTTTAAATACATGTAGCTCTTTTAATTATTAGATTCTATTGTTGTTCTTTTTCTGCATGCTTTACTTCATTCTTTTACATTTTCAAACATTTTTTATAGTTCCTAACATATTTTTACACTTTACACATATATATGCTAATTCTGTTAATTTTTTACTTACTTGAAAGTGACTGAAGATCGGTCCAAACGTCGTTTTTTATCTGTGATTTTTTACTGTGTTAAGTTTTAAAAAACCCTTACTTACAAGGTGCCTTAAAATGTGTAGTTCTTTTTTTCCTCTTTTTTGTGTGTGCATGTGGTCGTGTAAATACCTTAAATCCTCTTTTAAGCCCCCCCTCTCTAATAAGCTCCCTCTTTTCAGGTCATGAAAGTTAATAAGCCCACCCCTCCCCTCCCCCTTATTATTATTCACTAATAAATGATAGTCTGTATTAATCAGTCACGACTGTAAAACTTCATCTAGACTGATCTAGGATGGTTTTTTCACCAGCTGGAAGTTCATATCTGTTTTTTAACTTCGGCTGCATGACCTCCAACTTCTTGTACTTGAGTTTTCCACTTTTGTGTTCTAGTTCTTTATGGAGAAGTGATACCATCGTCTTTGCTAAATCCCTTTTTTTTCAGAATCCTGAATTTTTAACGGATACCACAGCGGCAGAGCGTCTCAGAGATTTCAGACTAAGGTAAATTTGCTCTGCTGTTATTCACTCAGTGCAACTGTTTCGTGTACATGTACTTTGTAGCCTTAATCATTTAAGCTCCATATCCACCCACGAATTCTCCAAACTGATCTCCATACATTTATTTTGCTTCTAGAATAAGTTGAGAGAATTTGATGGAAGATCAAAGTGTTTATCTCTTTGTTGATCACTTTATTAATTCTCATCACCTGTTCTCTTGACAATATGTGGATATTGTAAGGAGGAAATTGATATTGGTCACTGTTGGGGCTTAAAGGATTAAAGGTAGTGTTCTTATTCTGTTGCAGGCTTCAGTACTTTGCTCAAGGTTGTCAAGTGTATATAAAACAGTTGAAATTGTCACTCCAAGGCAAAACTGGCCCTGCTCTACAGGAAGAGGAAAATAAAATAAAAGTTGTAGCTCTCAGAACAACTTCTAATATCAACTCCCTCATCAAGGTATACTTGTATGCACATTGTTAGATCGTTTCAAACTTTTGGGTATAAGACTTTTTCAACTGGAAGGCACTGCTTAATCCAGCCGATCTGAAAATTTTCGGCTGTTTTTTGATTTTCAGCTCTTTGCAAGCAATATTAAGAGGAAACTTGTTCTACCAGAACTTTGTCAATCAAGAGCTCAAGTGGGCTCAACAAAGACTCAATTTTTGTCATGATCCAATTAGCATAAATTCAGTTTTAGCAGTGCTCAAAGAAAGTTTGTTGGAAATAAGCCATTTGTTTAGATTATCTAAATCACGATTCAGATCAACATCAACATTCTCATAAGTGATGTGGGTCATCAGCGTACATCCTAGGCTGGCATGATGCTATGCAGTTTGGCAAGTTGTTAATGTAAATAAGAAATAAAATGGGACCTATGATTGTTTCCTGTGGTATCCCACATTAAAGTGAACAGATTCTAGAAGGAGAAACCAATCGAGAGGTGTTCTTTGTATTTCGTTGAGGTTCATTTTAGATAAAAGGATATCATTGACAACAGTTTTGAATGCCTTCGTCAAGAAAAACCACCTCATTAACATCACCAAGATCGATATTAAAGCCCTGTTATCAGTACCTTCCAGAAGAGCAGTTACAGTTGAGTGTAAAGAGCAAAAACCTGATTGATTTGTAGAATGATAACCTCATTGATCAAAACGTTGTACAATTGGTCATAAAAAATCCTTTCAAACACTTTAGCTACATGGATAATGGCAATGACTGAAATAGGTCATCTTCCTACACTGTCCACATCCCACTGTCTCCAGAGTGTCTATTCTGAGAAGTTTCACTCTTTAAAAATTCTCACTTTTTATCCCATCTGTATAGTTCTGATAACTATCTGAATCAGGCCCAGGTGGTCCTATGTCCAGTTTATTCTTTCCACTAGCAATAAAAGGAGACACTGTTTAATAAGAGCCTTTTTTTTAATTCATGTTTAGGACTTGTTTCACAATCCACCATCTTTCAAAAGTTCTGTTACATTGTCCTGGAAATCACCGGTAGGTCTCTACAGTACACCTTGGCTTTACAGTGACTTCGCTCTTGAGAATACAAAATATAAAATTCAGATGTGAAATGTCTTTTAAAAAAATAGATGACTTTTAATATTTTTGTATGTTTTATACATATTGTTTATATTGCTGTATTTTTTTTGAATTTTATTTTAAAAACTGCCATAATTTAATTTAACTTAAAATGGGACCACTCCAATTATTTTTTAATAAGTCTGACATCTCCATTCTAGGAAATTGTTGGAGCTTTTTTTTTGGTTATTACTGTTATTGACATCAGTATGCTTAGTGAAGTGTTACTCAAAAAAGTTCATGATGTAGAGACAACAAATACATGTAGGTGCCAATAGGCACTAATATCTCAAAATGATGTTAATTTTTTAATCATCATCATCATTGTTATTGTTGTTCATCACTATAACGACTCTTAACGATCTTTTGTTGGTAGTGGAAGTTAAAACAAGAAAAACGACAGTCACAAATACTGTAATGAAAGGAATCGAACTCTGATTTTCTCTAATTTTCTTTAGGCAAAGACCCAAACGCCTACAGTGGTATCACCTAAAGAGGAGAGAGATACACTTGTGGATGAGAAGTAAGATTGTTATACAAGGTTCTGATTTCTTAAATCACTCAACCCACTCACAACATTCAACAACAAACAAGAATCATATTTATTCACACTATTTTGATCACATGGACAGAGAGAAATTACAGAAAACAGTACAAAACAAAATGATAAAGGTTATTTACAGCAATTGCAAAATACATGTATATCAGTTTAACATATGTGCAACAGCCAAAGGAGAAGTACTTTTAGAGATGGATGCTGTTTATTTATAAATAGAGAAAGGGGAAATTAGATGATAATTTACATGGAAATGATACAGAGGTCCTGTCAGGCTAAAATGTCAACAAGTGACAGGACCTTGACACAGTGACATAACACAGATGAAATGGAGACAAACGACCCAAGTATAACTTGACAAGTGGAAATATCGTAGTAAACTCGGTCAGGGACATGGCTTTCTCCTTAATACGTGAAAAAACGAATTGTGATATTGATTACATTTTGTTGGGCGAAGGAAATAAAGCTAAACAGCAGTGAGCTGCAGTGTAGAAAATATCCTAAGAATGTATAAAAGAATGAGAATTATTAAGTAGCAACTTGTGAAGACTTTGCAGAAACATAAAACCACCCTTGCTATGTAATCAATTGTATGTTCCCAAAGTACAACTCATTTCAAAGATGGGAGTCTTATATTATTATCACCTGCTTAATTCAGATTTTGTTGTTCTTAGAGACAGGACTTTTACTTACAGTTAACATTCCATGAAACTTTCAAGTCCTTATTATATTTATTTGGATAAAATAATCTGCTAACATGAGACTCGTATCATTTCAGTCTGATGATCGCCCAGAGCGTGAACTCGAGTTGCACTGACTTTCTATCTTTAACTTTGTATATTTACGATATGTATCCTTTCTATTGGGCACAGAGAACAGTTCCACTAAATATAATGTACATTTGATAAAAATAGTACTTTAGAAGTCTTTCTCGATCTCGTATTCGGACGAATGTGGCGAGTTATTGTCTGACGACGATGAACCAGTACAAGAAGAAATTGATGTGGGAGTCTGTCGGTATGTTTCAGGGTTTGATGCTGTCATATTACTCTTGATGTTTATCATCATTTCTTGTAGAGGTTTTCTCTCCAAGTTGAACTGCCGTGCTTTGGCGATTTCCAACGCCTCCTCGGCTTTTTCTTTGGCCTCGGGAAACTTCCGTTTGTAGCAGTAAAAGTCTGCCTCGGCTGTCAACCTCTGAATCTTTGCTCCAAGTGATTCCCTCTTACAATAATTTTCGTCGTTGCGAAGATTCTCCAATTGTTTTCCAGTTTCTTCGATACGAGACGTACCTGTCTCGCCTCGAAGGTTCATTCTCGCCATTCTGCAAACGGCGAAATCTCGTTTTCCTACGTGCACTTCCTCTGGGTCCAGACAAGAAAACAAATCAGCACATTTCTGCATCAGATCTCTTGCTTCGTTAATTGTGAATTTCCTTCCGAAGCCATGTAACATGTAAGCGAAATCTCTTGTGCAGCTGGCCTCTTCGTAGAGTAAGATCGCAATCACCAGACAGGACGGGAAACCCGCGGATAATTTCCTTGCTTCATCTAAGCACTCCTTCGATTTGCCAAGCTTTTTTTGCCGGCGATAAAGGCCCGCATCGTAAGAATTTGATAGCACTTCACAGAAACGCCGAAATGGTCCGCTAGTTTCTGAAAATCTTCTCTTTGCTTCGTTCATCACTTTTTCGGACTCCTCCAACTTATTTTGGTAACTCAGAGCTACGCTTTCTTCCAGAAGAGTAATTATTTGACAAGGCAGATTGCCAACGTTTTGATCCAAAAGGTTTTTAATAGCGAAGGCAAAGTCCTCCCAGCGGCCATTGTCGCGTAGCAGGTGTAGACGCTTGCTGTAAAGGTGAAACGATGTCAGTGCTTGTTCAAGACTGGGGCCGTTTTCGTCCGTAAGTGCAATCTTGTTGAGGGTCGATGTTTGTGTCTCCTCATCAGAACTTGTGGTGGAAAATCTGGAATTTTGTTTATGTCGCTTTAAGCGTTTGCGTTCAATTTTTTTGTTTCTCAGAGAGTCGCTAACGTGATCAACGAGGCTTTCTTTCTTCCGTTTTTGACTCTTGAAGTACTGGCGTGCGCGTAGGTCTGTACTGCTCTGTACGCCGTCCTCCAAAGTGTTTTCATTTGGTAAATATTGCTCACTCGTTAATTCGAAGCCATTGTGAAGCCTTTCTCTCGCTGTCTCGCCGTGTAAGCCACTGGTATGACTCGATGTAGCGGTTGGATTTATAAATACATTTACCTTTGTATTATCACCGATGACCAAAGTTCCATTGTTGACGATGTTAAAAACAGCTGCTCGGTCGGCCATGTTTAAAAGCATTCGCAAAAAAATGATCCTACTCCTTTATTTAACACCCCAATCACGTGACTACTTCCGAACCACGCAGCTTTCGAAGTTCACTTCCGTATTAGTTGACGTCACTCCATATGGACCGTCGCTCCTCGTTTGTTTTGATTGTAAAACTGCTCTAGTGGTGAGAAGTTGCAGGTTGGTCCTGAGCTTCATTTGCATGAACTTGGATAACAACAGTTGTTGATGATCTTTGAACTGTTTGCAACAGTTTTATAGGCTGTTAAATTTCAAGTTGTATTTGCTTTTCACCTTTTCCCCGGAAGGGAATTTTGATAAGTTCATTTTCTGTTTTGTTTTGGATTTCTGATATTGACTCCCACGTTAGTTCACGTGACTACGTGGACCGTCGACCCCGTCTTTGTTTTGATCGTAAAATTCACGTCGTCACATTTCTTGCTGTTGTTACAGGCCTCTTCTTGTAGACGTTTCGTTAAACGTTAGACGCTACCAAAAAATTTATTTGGGGAAGCTATCTGTTAGGAAAAACTCTTTTTTTAACCAGTGAAACTTTGGTAAGATCTGTAGATTTTATTCGCTGGGAGGCCATTTTAGTCTGCAAAACTTGCATTTCGCTTCGCTTGCATATTTTTTCTCTGCCGTCTACGAGGTTACGTGTAATTATGTCTTCGACGTCTGACGAAATGGAAAATTCAACGACTCAGTATGTTGTTAACATACAGGGAAATTCTGGAACAGTACTCATAGGCCGGAACAATGTGGCAAATGTCCAGTCGCCAACTTCAAGCAGTGCTACGACTTTGCTTCCAGTGGATTCTTCTAGGGCAGAAGTGCTTCTAATAGTCGACACCGAAAATATCTGCGCTCTTGGCTGCCTCCAGCAACTTAACTGTAGCATATCGCAGCAGACAAGTCGTTCGACCGATTCGAACAGAATGTTACCGATTGGCAAAGAGCCAACATGTATGTCGAAGTTTTTTCCTGTGGTAAAGAAAAGGAAGTGCTGTCATGTCGCACCGAGTGGAAAGCCAAGGAAGAAACTAAATGATCCTAAGCGGCGGAAACGCAACCCAAGATTTTCTAGCTCAAGCTCTGGTGAGGATGTCGGAGAAACGAAAATCAAGGAGCTTGCCTTTCATAGTGATGGTACCAACTTAGAGCAAGCGCTTCAGTATTTCAGTGAATGTATCACCCCCCTCCACCCGCTAAGAGATAATGGTCAGTGGGATAATTTCGAACGTGTTGCTCAATGTCTTTTAGAAAAGAACGCAAATGACCTGCCCCACCAAACCATTATTCAACTGGAGAAAAGCCTAGTGTTGAGTTTACAGGGAAAGTTGGAAGAATCCGAGAATCTAATCAATGATGCGTTTAAAAACATTCCACAGATGAGCGGAGCAATTCGACTCTTGCTTGAAGTCTTATCAAACTGTTACCTTGGGCAACTTAGTCGTCGGAGAAAATTGTTTGGCAATGCCGAGAGATGTTTGCAATTGGCAAAGGAAAAGTCTGCCAGATTTCCTCCTTCGTTACCTCTTACAATACTACTCTACGAAGAGGGTGGCTACCTTCGAGACTTTGCAGCTACAATTCAAGGTTCGAAAAAGGAGCTGGCCGTTGGTAGAGCTAAAGAAGTCACGAAGCGATGTGTTGAGTTATGTTGTCGGTTGGATAGCGAGCAAAACGTATATACAAGAAAGCAGCACATCGCAATTTCAAGAATGGTCATCACGAATCTTAATTGCGAGACACGAGAGTCCAGAAGCAAACTTGTCCCTAAGAAGAAGATCCACGAAGCCAAAAAACTTCTCGAAACACTTGAAAATGACTATTTTAACCAGACTGAAACGCAAGGAGCAAAGATCCAGCGACTTATGGCGAATGTAGACTTGCAGTATCGCCTTGGCAATTTGATAGAAGCTAGAACAATTGCTGAGGAAGCGTTAGAAATTGCCAAAAGGCTCGAGTTTAATCTGGATGTGATGCCACTTGAAGAAAGGTTAGGAGAAATCCATCAAAAGATTATAGAATCGTCCGGTAGCAAAACTTTTCGAGAGATTCCCAGAATCAATGACTCGTCTTCTTGCTCTTCCAAGAACAACACACCATATTCTTCGGAGTACGAGGAGAAGTCTTAGGTCACCTTGTCGCAACGTATTTTAACTGATAAAGCTTCACGATGACAAATGAGTTGGCGATTGTTTTATTTGTTTTATGGCAGCAGTTTCAAACTGATTCATATTATTTACTTCCAACGTGGAAACCACAGCTGTTGTATTGCAACCTATCCCCATGTTTGTATTTATCATATTGGATCATATTGGTCATTGGCTTAATGTAAACAACATTTGCAGGTGTTTGTTTTTGTTAATAACGAAAGCTCCTTTTTATTGTGTAGTATCATTTTAATGCGCATATTTACAAACTGCTCAGTAGGATCACTGTAGCAGAACGTACAGGAAAACCCTGACAGTAACGACAAGAGAGTAGAAATATTATTGTAGCGTTCAAAATTGTGTGACCAAGGCGAATGAATCCTGTTATTTTTTCATATTTGTTAAGCATTGTAAAGTCGTTTTCCTTATAAAGTTCATACTACACTTGCATATTGACAAAGTTGGGCCATTTGTAGCCCCTGCATTTAAAGACCAATGAAGTAATAGGTTTTGATAAGATTGTAGATATTGGCCTGATAGTCCCTTGCGTCATTATGCGCTCATGCGCTATGGTCATGGTTGATACAACAACACGGTTCCGATAAATCTTCTGTACAGTTCATAACCCTCCTTTGTGTCTGTACAATGCTTTTGGATTTATACGTCGGATATTTTATCGTGACCTCTTGTTCACGTTCTTAAGTATTTGTATCTTAATTTCTACTCTTCCCTAAAATTACTTTTTATTGTAATAACCTTGTACAAGTTAGGCAACACCAAACAAAGTACCAATCGGTAGCTTTGCATTGATTCTCTTTGTGTTGTCGTAGACTTCAAGTGACCGTAATATATAAATAGTGACGGTCCTAAACTTCGCGTGACAAAAATAAGCGTCTCAATAAGACGAAACGGCATCTCACAATGCGCACCTTAAGATGTCATAATCGTTCCATAAAGGTAAGGTGCTATGCGAAAGAAAAAGAGGCACATGGTTAAAGATGATTGTACTCCATTCAGTTACACTACCCTGTAAACAGGCGTTACAAGGAGGAGACCCAGTCGACTTTCTCTCCTCGCACGACCTTACTAACTAACGTCTCTCACGCAGGCTAATGTTAAACCAAGTCAAGTTCAAGAATACGACTCGAGACTTTTAAGTACGATGAAACGAAGAATTAAGGGCCTGTTTACATGGAGTGGGGGACCCCGGTCTAGTGGGGTTGGTTTCTTTTGTTTTCACGCTCTGGGGGACACAAAACAAAAGAAACTTACCGCACTAGACCGGGGTCCCCCACTCCATGTAAACAGGGTCTAAGTTATTTATTTATATTCCTGAGGCTCTCTTAAAAGACATTAAGAAAAAATAATTGTTTTATTGGAACCACTAATTTGTTTTGTCAATAATGCATAATTTTTTTCACGGGAAGTGGAGCACTTAAGTGAAATCTCGAATCTTCTGTTTCCGGGAAATTTCCTCTTTCTGTTGTGTGACATCTTTCGATTTCGTCGCCTGCTGGAGAAAGGGTTGAAAATTGACGAAAGGGAAGGAAGCGCATAAAAAGACAACATCGCGATTCGAGACTTTCCACCCCAGTTTTGGATGTGAGAGACTGACTCGTCGACCTTAATTGAGCTTCCACACAAAAACAGTAATAGCTATAACATTTAAAATTCCTTGTTCTCGGTTTCTGAAGAGTGCCGCGAATTATTTCAGGAAGGGAGCTGCTCGGAAGAAGATCCAGCTGGTTTAGGAGTCTCTCGGTATTTTTCACTGCTCGATGGCTTTGATGATGCTGCAATCGTGCGTCGGATGTCTTCCAGTCGATCTTGGAGAGGCCTTCTCTCTAAGTAAAACTCTAGACTGTCGACAAGTTCTATCGCCTCAAGGGCTCTCTTTTCAGCTTTAGGTAAATTCTCTTTGCGGTAGTACATATCGACCTCCGCCTTGAGTCTCTGGATCTTCGCTGTTTTTACTTCCTTCTTGCTTAACAATCGCTCCGAAGGGTTTACATATTCTGTAGTGCTTGTGTTTGCCTCGTCTAAGAACTCGATCGTTTTGCCAAGCATTTTTCTGCGACGATAAACTGCAGCGAGGTAGCATTTCGACAACATTTCAAGGAGAGGCCGAACTGATCTTCTTGTTTGTGCAATCTTCTCTGCCGCTTCGTTTAACAGATTCTCCGATTCTTCCAACCTGTTCTGGTAACTTAACGGCAGGCTTTTTTCCAGAGAAATTATTATTTGGTACGTGAGGTTGCCACCGGCCTGATCCAAGATTATGGGCAACACAATCGAAGTCAGTCCATTGGCCATTGTCTCGAAGAGGATGCAAACGCTTACTTCAATAGTTAAACAGTCGTAGCCCCTGTTCAAGGTTGACATCGCTTTCGCTCTCGGGTGAAAGTTCCTTGAACGTCGACATATTTCTTAGCTCTTCATCTGAACTTGAAATGGAAAATCTTGAATCTCTTTTTCCCCGCTTCACACACTTACGGTCATTTTTTTTGCTCCTCAAAAAGCCGTTCACTTCATAAAAAAGGCTGTCTTCCTTACGCCTTCCTCGTTTGTATTTGCAGCGAAGCTGCTGACTGCTTTCATCCCGCGCTAAATTTTCTTCAATTGGTAAAGGTGTCTTTCTCGAAAATTGATTTTTTTGTCACCACTTAATAACAAATAACAACTTTATTGACTTTATCGTCGACATGAAGATTTCAGTACCAAAACAATCAATATAATTACAAATGAAACAAATTAAAATAAAAGTAAAGTAAGAGAGAAAGGAACAACAACTATGTATTGAACATTAACATATTAAATTTCGTGGCTATGTGTGGATTTGTAACAATTTAGAATATTTTCAATATAAGAGGCACTAAGATTTATGATGTTTTCATCGCACATAGACATGATATATTTAGTAAAATCCAACTAGCGGTCTATTATCAATGCTGCGTTCTGATTGGTTGAGCTACTACTGGGCTATAAGATATAGCCCACTAGTAGCGAAAAGCGCGGGCTTTGAAAACCAAAACAATGGCGGCTGAATCTCAGTTTGCAGGCTAAAGTTGTTTTGTCTTGATATTTTTGACCAACTAGTTGGATTTTACTAAAACAATTATTCCTCTCGCCCTCATGGCCTCTGAGTCAATGGTCCATTCGGCGTCGAGAAATAATTGTTTATTAGAAAAATAGTGCCTTGCAAGACATATTCGTTAAATTACTGTTTATTGAGTATAGGCTCTCCAAGAGGGTACCCCTTACATGAGAAAGTGATGAATGATTACATTTCCAGTCAACAAATAGTGGAATTCATCATGGATCTATTACAAAGGGGGCAAAGTATCTCAGCTCTGGGTATCATGTTCAATAGGTAGCAATTCTTAACTTTCATTATTAAATTTAGATAAGTTTCACATCTGACTTCGTTTTTCAATGCACTGTAAAGACTTAATTTATTTACAACTGAGGTGTCAAATTTATCCTTGTTCAAATTTTTCGAAAAATATTCCTGGTATTGTGTTAACAAATTTCTTTTAAACATTCTAACCAGGTGAGGAATTCTCCTATAGTCAGTAGGTGGCAGATTTGAAGTATAATCAGTTAATTTAGTAAAGTTTAATAGGTGCTTTGCAGTAGTAAACCATGAACGCTTACCAATATTATTTAAAAGGACATTTTTGTAGGGTAAGTAACCTTAAGAAGTACTTAAAAATGCTAGTGTAAATATTAAGATGAAGAGGGAAACGTCCGAGTTCTCCGTTCACCGCAAGGTACTTGCTATAGCGTGAACCCCTAAGGCCTTTTTGCATACCTTGTTATGCATATTCTCGGGTGTTATTCTTTCATCAAAAATTCTCGAGACAAATTTGTCAAAGTTATTTCCAACTGATTTTAAAAACCAACCTCAAATTTCACAGTTGTACAAAAGGATAGGGCTCACAAGAGAATAAAAAAGTTTAAGAACTGTTGAAACAGATGCACCATTGTAAATATTTTTCTCTGACAGGAAACTATTAAGAGACCTTGTGGCTTTATTATATAACTTTTTCTAGGCCGGTGAAAAAGAACCAGAAGGCGTTAAAGTTATTCCAAGGTAGACATAACTATCAGTTACTGCGATTGGCTCAGATTACTTAGTTTGAATTCACTTCTAAATATTTCACCACTTATTTTGAAAATAATAGCTTTTGTCTTCTTCATATTGATCCTCATTTGCCATTTCTTAACGCAACAACTTAACTCATCAAGGCATCTCTGCAAACCATTTTCTGATTCGGAAAGCAGGATAAGATCATCTGCGTATAGTTAACAATTGATTTTGCATTCTCCTATGATCAAGGGATCACAAGTGGAGTCGAATGGTTTTGTGATGTAGGTGAGATTTTCTGTCGTAATGTCATCCGAAACGCTAGCGTCACTATGGCATCGATCACATATTGGCCTCTCGATCGTCACGTTGTTATTATCGCCGATTACGACGTTGCCAGTGTTATTGTAGATGTTTATGACACGTTGTGGTGGTGTAGCGTGATCGCTATTACCAGAGTTTCCGTTCTGCTTGATGTTTATATGTGACAAGCCGTCATACGCAGCCAATTTTCAAGACGTTCGCCCTTATGTAGACTCTACCACGTAGTACATCAACGAAGGCAGCAGTCGCACCGCTTAGTTAGACCTCCGAGAAGAATTAACTCGACGACGTCGACGTAAAATAGCGCATCCTAAAATAGAAAGATATGTGTCGCTTCCCTGCGACACATATTCAGAAACGAAGCCTTCCAAAACATAAACACAGAGTCGCGTGACAATATGTGAATCGAACTTTCTGTGAGCTTCCATGACATGCGTAGAAAAAGGGGTTTGTTTAGTAATGAGATGAATTATTTAAGTCTCCCAAGGAAACAAAGTGATGTGACTTGCGGGTTGAACTTGATTCTCGTGACAATGTGACTATTAATGTTTATAGTTGCTTTGGTTATAGAACTTTAGTAATGTTAGTTTATGTGTAGCAATTTGGCTTCTTAAAGAACCATTGTAATCGAATCACTAGCTTAGCCTTTTTAAGATTTTGTTTGGTTAGGTTCGGCTTGCGATTTGGAAAGTACTCCAGTTCGGATCCATGGTTTGTATGCCCTCCTAACTCAAAGATGTTGTTTGCTTACCTCGCTGTAAAGCCTCATTTATACAATAAAACAAATTTTCGCTGGTAGTGTTTTAATGGCAAAACGTTTTTCCCTCGACAACAGAACAGAAAATGTTGTATTTTGTCATCGACGTACGTGATTCTTCTGATTAATATATTGAACAACGGGATTTGCATTTATGCTTGTCTAGCACTTTTCATTTTCATTATTGTCGTCTTCGTTTTGTTTTTATTTGGCAACCTTAGTTTTTTTTACTATGATTTTCTGGGTTAATACGGTTCAATGAAAGTCTGCAGCAAATATGTAAGTTTGAAACTGACCAGGAGAGAGAAAATTAGTTCTGCAGACTATGTTGCTGTCACTTGGGCATTTGAGTTTAAATAATGAACTTTACATTATAATACACCTTTCAAATTGTCTCCTCATTCTCTTCATTCGACGAGTACGGCGTATTATTCCGGGAAGACAGCGAATCTGAAGAAGATTCAGCTGTTCTGTGAGACTCTCGGTATTTCTTTCGGCTTGATGGCGTTGATGATTCTACCATTGTACGTCGAATGTCTTCCAATCGCTCTTGGAGAGGCTTTCTCTCTAAGTAAAACTCCAGACTGTCGACAAGTTTTAGCGCCTCAAGGGCTCTGTTTTCTGCTTCAGGGAAATTCTCTATGCGGTAGTACATATCGACCTCCGCCTTGAGTCTCTGGATCTTCGCTGTTTTTGCTTCCTTCTTGCAGTAACAATCGCTTCGCAGGGTTTCCAGACTCTGTAGTGCTTCTTCATAGTTTGTTGTTGGTATTTTCTCCTTTCTGGACCCCCTTGTTTCGCACTGAAGATTCATGATTGCAATTTTGGAAACTGCAAAGTGTTGTTTACGTGCGTACAAGTCCTGGCTATCAAGACCGCGGCACAAGTCTGCACAACTCTTCATAAACTCTTTGGCCTCCCGAATGGCGTTCTTCTTTTGAGCCCCACTTAACATAGCAGCAAACTCTTGTTTATAGCTGCCTTCCTCGTAACGAAGGATCGCGATTGCAAGACATGGCGGGAATCGAGATGATATTTTCTTTGCCTCGTCTAAGCACTCGACCGTTTTGCCAAGCATTTTTCTGCGACGATAATTTGCGGCAAGGTAGCATTTCGACAACATTTCAAGGAGAGGCCGAACGGAACCCCTTGTTTGTGCAATCTTCTCTACTGCTTCGTTTAACAGATTCTCTGATTCTTCCAACCTGTTCTGGTAACTTAACGGCAAGCTTTTTTCCAGAGTAATTATTATTTGGTACGTCAGGTTGCCACCGGCCTGATCCAAGAGTGTCTGGGCAACCCAATCGAAGTCAGTCCATCGGCCGTCGTCTCGAAGAGGATGCAAAAGCTTACTACAGTAGTTAAACAGTCGTAGCCCCTGTTCAAGGTTGACGTCGCTATCGCTCTCGGGTGAAAGTTCCTTGAATGTCGAGACATTTCTTAGCTCTTCATCTGAACTTGAAGTGGAAAATCTTGAATCTCTTTTGCCCCGCTTCGCACGCTTACGTTCGTCTTTTTTACCTCTCCTCCTCAAAAAGTCGCTCACTTCGCAAACAAGGCTGTCTTCCTTACGCTTTCCTCGTTTGTATTCTGTGCGAAGCTGCTGACTGCACTCATCCCGCGCTAAACTTTCTTCAGTTGGTAGAGGTGTCTCACCCGAAAGTGGCATGTTAGTGTCATTATTTAATGTTTTGCTAATGCAGCTGAGTATTTTTGTCGTAATGTCATCCGAAACATTAGCGTCAGTACGGTATCTTTCTAATCCAGCGCCACAACTTGGTGCACATATGTGTTCGATCGTTACGTTGTTATTATCGCCGATTACGACGTTGCCAGTGTTATTGTTGAGGTTTATGACAATGGTTGGTGGTGTAGCGTGATCACTGTTACTAGAGTCTCCATTTTGCTCCATGTTTATATTTGCCAAGGCGTCGTACGCAGCCATTTTTCAAGACTTTCGCTCTTCTGTGGACTCCACCACGTAGTTCATCAACAAAGGCAGCAGTCTCACCGCTCATTTAGTTCTCCGTGAAGACTTAGCTCGATTTAGTCGGCGTAAAATAGCGCACTATAAAGTAGAACGAATATGTGTCGCTTCCGTGCGGCACAGTTTCGATCGCTTGTTCACAGGATATGAAACCTTCGAAAACGTAAACACAGAATCACGTGACAATACGTGAATTGGACTTCCTGTGAACTTTCCCTGACATGTGCGGAAAAAAGGCTTTGTTTTGGTAATTTGATGCATAATTATAGTGCCGGGTCCGAGGAAAACAAAGTGACGTGACTTGCGGGACGAAACTGATTCTCGTGACAAGTTTGATTATTAATGTTTACAGTTTGCTTTGGTGTTAATCGGTTCCAATAAGAATTGCTAGTTTATGTCTAGCAATTTGAAAAGTAACATTTGAACCGAATCACTAGCTTAGCTTTAGACAGGAAAGTTTGTAAGAATTTTCTCTAATTTGAACCCACCTATTGTGTGTCCTCATGACACTTTGCTGTAAAGCTTCATTTATACAGTCAACTGTTTTCCTTGACAAATGTTTTTTTCCTCTTGGCCATAGAACACAAAATGCTATTTTTTCCCCTTTGATCTTATCAAGGAAAACTTGTGTGAATGACGCTTTATCGATCCTGACCTCCCTCACACAATGTTCATTCTCAGTAGGACATCAAAGTTTTTCCCTAACTTCAAGTTTTTTTTCATGTTAATGTATACCGGAATGGACCTTTGAACTTCCGCCTTTCTTGTCATGTGATATCTTCATTTGATTGGCTGACATCATCTTTGTTTTGAAATGCAAATTTCGTCGCTTTTTAAATGAACTTTAAACAACATGCACGCTCTGACTGTCGAAAATGTTTTGACTGTCGGCGTAGACGTATTGGAAACAGTGGGCAAAATTGCGTCGAAGCAGCTCTTAGAAAAAAATTAGGGAAATCTGGAGATAAATCATCCTGTTCTCGCGTCATTTTTCTGGAAAGCTGTACAGATGACGTCTCCCTAGTCCGTCTTCTTCTAAGGGTGTTACGTCTTGTTTTGGTGTAAATCGGTCGCTCTTAAATCGAGGCTTCTTTTGATGGATCTACAAACCAATGACACAAAACTCGTCCTTTGAATTGAACGACTGCTTGCCAACGACAGCAGCGGTGGGTGTTTATCGGTCTTGTGCTGTTTGTGGCTCAACACAGTATGTGCTAAAGTTAAACGTTTTTGGCGACGTTAGAGCAGTGCAAATTGGTGACCATAACGTAGCAAACGTCCCGTCGGCACCTTCAAGCGGAGCTACTCTACTTCAAACAGATTCAGATTCTTCTAATGCTGTATCAAGCATAAACGTACATGTCGTTAGCGACGACGTACGAGAGCCAAAGAAGAAATTGGGACAGCGACGCCTTCGGTCGAGTAGTTCCAGCTCACGCTCCAATGTGTTCGTCGGAGAAATGAAACTCCTTGCCTGTCAGAGTGACAGCTCCAACTTGGAGCAAGCGCTCGATTTATTTCATAACTGTATCACCCATCTCCACCCATTGAGAGACGACGGACAGTGGGATCATTTCGAGCTCGCGGCTCAGGGTCTGTTGGAAAGGAACGCGGATAACCTGGCTTGTCAAACCATTATTTACCTGGAGAAAAGCTTAGCGTTAAGTTTACAAGGAAAGTTAACAGAATCCGAGAATCTGATCAATGATTCGATGAAAAACATTCCGCAGATGAGCGGATCAATTCGACGTTTGCTCGACGTCTTGATGGACTGCTACATGTGTCAAGTTAGTCGTCGCAAGCAATTTCTTGAGCAAGCCAAAATGTTTGTAGAAACAGCAAAAGAAAAATCGCGAGGCTTTCCTCCTTGTTTGGCTATTGCAATAGTGCTCTATGAGGAGGGAGGCTACAAGCGAGACTTTGCCGCTACAGTTAAGGGGTGGAAAAAAGAGCAGGCCATTGCTGAAGCCAAGGAGGTCATGGAGCGGTGTGTCGAGTTATGCTGTCGTTTGGATCGACAACAAGAAGTGTACGTCAGAAAGCAACACATCGCAATTTCAAGAATGGCTATCATGGGGCTTCAATGTGAGACAAAAGTTTCCCGAAGCGAAAGAATCAGCACAGAGAACATCAAAGAAGCCAAAACACTTCTTGAAACTCTCGGGACTGACTACTACTGCCAAACTGAGAAGCAAGGTGGACGAATTCAACGGCTGATTGCCAATGTTGATTTGTGCTACCGTCTCGGTCATTTAGCTAAAGCAGAACAAATTGGTCGCAAAGCTCTAGAAATTGCCAAAAGGCTGCATTTTAATCTAGATGTCAACCCGCTGGAGGAACGGCTAGCTGAAATCCATCAAAAGATCATACAATCACCCAGTAACGCAACCTTCCGTGAGATCCCTGGAATTATTGACTCTTTCTCCGATTCTTCCCAGAATAGCACGCCATATTCATCAGAGTACGAGGAAGACTTGTCGCCTATCAGCGAAGTATTTTTACCAAAAAATCTTGCTGACTTGGTGATCTTTTCTTGAATTTTAAGGCAGCAATTTGAACTTGATTAACTTAAGGTTTTCCATTGACTAAAATACTGAACTAACCGATTAATAACAACGTATTTCGTATTTGCATTATTTATAATGGATCACTGCCGGGTCATTGGCCTTAATCTAAATATAACCTTTGATTGTACGTGTCTATTTACGCAGATATATACAAACTGATGTAGAACACTGTAGCTTGTCAGGATTGTGATCCTTAACCAAATAAGAGGCGATCGAATTATTATCGTTTTTTCTCTTCATTTTCTGCGCAGTGCTTCGTTTGCTGATAGGTAAATTAGCAGAACGATTAGAGGTATGATTTTGACGGCAAGGAGATATTGGTCTAGGTCGTCAATACTATGTACCTTATATTTTTATGTATATTCCTGCTCCAGTGTTTGATCAGTCAGCATATTGCTTTGAGTCTACAACTTACTACTCTTATTCTCAAGAGTGAAATGATAAAGGAAGTGATTTGTGAACCCTGATCACTTTGACAGACTTTCAATTGTAATTGTTTACATCTTAAGATTTAATTACAGTTTTACTGTAAAATGCGCCTTTTATTACCTGTGATTACTTAACCATATCAGTTTCCTTTGTTTTTTGTTTCCCAGCAACGTTTTAGTTCAGAACTCATCTAAGCGTAAAATCTTCATTCAGTTTTTCAATGTGTAAATATGAATGGTAGTTAAGTACAGTAAAAGTTTAAGATGTAAATAGGATTCGAAGTTTATGAGGCTCAGTTTATGTGCCTCTACCCAAGATTCTAAGGCAATTTCAGTCTAACACTCCACCACAGAAAATAGCTAATAGAGGGGTCAACTAGGAGATTTGGTTTCAATTGTTATATTCATTTATTCTTGGTCTAATCACCAGACCCCGGTTTCAAGCATGATTCTAGTAACCCACGATACGCGTTAAATCTGAGCGCTTCCTATTGATTCTTTTTGCCTACAATTTAATGTTTGGACGCCCTAATATGATGGGTCATAATAAACAGGAAAATAGCTTTTGAACGAAAGAAACAGGAACCTGGATGAAAATCAGTCTAACCCCGGGTTTGTGTTAATCGACCTGAATAATGGGCAACAGCTTTTCTTTAGTCTCTTATTTAAAAGTCTCTCACGCAGCCTTTCTTGTCTCGTCACGCAACGTTCCATGAGGAGCGTTCTTTGTGATGTCACCGTTGCGTACGTAACTGTACAAGTAACGGCTGCGCTTTTAGTTCACAAATCATAACGTTAACTTACATATTTTTTTTCAGTGGGTTAGTTGATCCTGGTGTGGGTTATTTAAATTAAAATCCAAAAGATAAATCCCGAGTTTTCTCTTTTCTCTTTGTCAGTAAAGACAGGGACCAAATGGGACACATAAAATTCTAGCGTGACTACTTAACTCCGGATATGCCTAGAATAATTATGCCCCTCGGGGCATTTTACATTTGTTAAGCATTTTTCTTATGGTCAATTTTGCGAGATATAAATGATCAGAAATTCGATGATAGACTGCAGCAAAAAAAAGGTGTCAAACGACTCGCTGTGTGTAGTTTATAAGAACTACTACTTTCTGATTGGTACTGTCTGAAGTGAAGGACCAAAGTTCATTTAGATGAAATATGTCGGGAAATTTCCCTTCCTCTCACGCATTATCTTTCGATTTTAAATCAAATTTTTCCTGTCGACACTTTCACTGTATTTCGCTGTCGCTTTAAGGTCTCTAAGTCTCTTGATTTCGGAGCGAAGACGTCGTGAGGAAGCAAGATCCACAAAACTGACGAAAAAACTACTTCCAGTTGTGGTCGTCAGCCCTCTGACGTAGTCCAAGCATAGAAGTAGCCAGATGTTACGTAATTGTGTTCTTGTCGTCATGTGTTTGTTTTGATCATGTGATCTTCATTTGGTTTGTGTGGAAAAATTCGACGTCGTTGTCGATTTCTGGGCATTAAAAGACGTCGAAAAGAAGGTTTAACGAAGGCTAAATCAAGTCAAGACTGGTGATAGAATACAGAATTCGTGTTGTGCGACCCTTCATGTGAGTCCGTCCAAGTCGATCAGCGCGGAAATGCAAACGTTGTGTTTGTGTGAAAAGGATCTTCCTCCAAGCTAGTTGTGTACATATTGCACTTAATCACTGTCAAATATGACTCCGTCTTACCAAGGGAAAACTTCTACGGCAAGCTTGCCAGTAAACGTGAGATCGAAACCTAGAGTTCTTCGCTCAAGCGGCACGGAGCATCCAAACCAAGTTTTCGTTAATGTGTACAACAATTCTGGAACTATTGTGGTGGGCGACAATAACGAAGTCACAGTTCGTACTTCTGCTTCCAGTATCACTGGAATCTACTCCATTTCGAACGATGGACTAAGAAGTGATTTTATGTCCGCCGGTTTTACCCCAGGACAAAACGGCGTTGCAAACTCGCAAAGCACTGATCTCTCCCACTATTCGAGCGGGCAAAGATCAGCAATTGGTGCACAGATAACCAAGGTGACAAGTTTTTATCCTGTCGTAAAACATGAAAATTCTTTTGGATGCGGACGAGGGAAGAGGAAGGGCTGTCATGGAGGCGAAAGTCGACGAAAAGGAAGGAAGCGCTTCAAAAACCAACAACCCGATTCGAGACTTTCCACTCTGAGTTCAGATGCTGATGTGGGAGTCTCGCCGGCGTCCATTGAACTTCCGCTCGACAGTAATAGCACCAGTTTTCAACAAGGGCTTCAGTCGTTTCACCATTTGTGCTCTTGTTTACACCCTTCGCGTGACAATGGCCGCTGGTCTGAGTTTGATGTTCTCGCCCAACAACTTTTGGACCAAGCAGGCATCAGTTTGACGGACCAAATCATAATCGACCTTGAGAAAAGCGTGGCGTTGTGCTACCAGAAAAAGCTGGATGAATCTGAAGATTTAATAAACGATGCAGAGAAGAGATTTCCTCAGACCAGTGGATCCATTCGGCGCTTGCTTGAAATGCTCTCAAACTGCTACAGAGCTGGACTTTATCGAAGGCGAAAACGTTTTGGCCAGAAAAGACAGCAGTGGCTGCATGCTGCAGAGACACTTGCATATGGCTTCCCACCCTGTTTGCCTGTTGGAATCTTGCTCTACGAGGAAGGCACTTGCAAACGAGACGTAGCTTCTATTCTGACAGGCCCAAGTAAAGATGCAGCCATTGGGGAAGCCAAGAAGCTTATGCAGCGTTGCATCGACTTGTGCTGTCGTTTGGATCATCAAAAGCAAGTATATGTGAGAAAGCAGCACGTTGCTGTTTCAAAAATGGCGATAATGAGTCTTCATTGTGAGACAAGTGTGTCCCGAAGCAGAAAAATCGGGTCAAGTAATGTGGTAGAGGCTGGAAAGCTTTTGGACACTCTTCAGAGTGATTACTATCGTCAAACAGAGGTTCAAGGATCGAAGATTCAAAGACTCATTGCAAATGTGGACCTATTCTACCGCATAGAAAAGTTCTCTGAAGCTGAAAAAGTTGCTCAGGAAGCGTTAGAAATCGCCAAAAGACTGGAGTTTAATCTGGATGTGATGCCGCTTGAAGATCGGTTAACTGACATCCGCCGACAAATAACAGAATCTTCCAGCAGCGAAACTTATCGAGAGATCCCTAGAATCATTGACTCGTGCTCCGGTTCTTCCCGGAATAACACGCCATACTCTTCAGAGTTCGAGGACAAGGAACAGTTTTAAATTACTTTTCCTGTGTGTGGACAAGAAATGGCACGTTGCGGGCGAAGATCCTACACTACATTTGCAGCTTTGAAAGAAATACAAAACTGTAAATAAACTTTTAGAATACCATGACAACTAACCTCGTCCCCAGCTCCCACTCTTAGAATATGGTGACCAAAGACCCCTGAAGAATTCTGGGGCAATTTATCAGGCGACAATGGCGTCATATTACCTTATTAGGGCGAAAAACTCGTAAACTCATGGGAGCGTTTTATCTAGTGGCAAACTAGGGGGTCGACGCAAGAAAAACATTGTACGCCAGAAATAGTAGGAAAACTGGGACTATTACCGTTTGTTTACATTTTTTTTTTTCAAGTATCCCTGCGCATTATTTGTCAAGTCATCAAATAAGAAGTTAATTTTTTGGACAGGAATTCCAAGTCACAAGAAAACCGGCGTGGCTACCTCTCACAATTTAAAATCTCCAAGGCCGACAATTTCCTTTTTGTCACTTGAAAAAGTAAGCAAATGCCGTAATCAAATAAGGAGTTCATTTTTTGGACAAGTATTCCAAGCCCAGCGTGGCTGCGACTCACGGACATAAACCTCCAAGACTGACAATTTTTAGAATATTTCAGCCAGACATGAATTTCAGGCGTCGCCTTTTTAGAACGTCGACGGTTTGGATGGCGTAGAAATCGAAAAAATTAAAGGCTCGACATGGGAACATCAATGTACATAGGTATGTAGTAAGTTTAAAAAAATGATGTTGCGTTTATACAGTGCAATTTCATTGATTGTCCCGTCCCCACTTGCGCTTTCTCCAGCTTACATTCAATCACCCAACTAAGAATTCGATTTTAGATATGAAAAGCGCACTCCACAAGGTAACTTTTTGTCATGTGGTCTCACTGCACCTGTAAACTCAACTTAGCATAGCGATCAACATCAAGTTTCTCCTTGTAACATCGATGCTTTATAAAACAGAGTGGTAACGAGAAGGAAGGACCTGATCACACAGTGTTAATGTTACTGATGCTTTAACAACTTCCACCCGCTATTTGTATGGCGAATGCTTTGGGCAACAAATGAGAATTTAAAGTTTGATAATTGGGTTCAATGGGTTCACATTAAGTGAAAAGGCGTGGTTACTGTCTTCCAAATGGCTAACGGTCCAACTTATACTACAAATAACTGTTCAACTTACATAAATGTAGTTATTTGGTTATTGGTTTGAGCAAGATTTCTGGTGTTGTAATGGCCAGCTGTACTTGTTGTTTTGAGTTAACGAGTTATTATTTGAGATTAGTGATATGAATTCTTTAGAAGTGTTCCTATGCGGCACCACACACTACTTAATAACTTGTTGCTGACTACTGTGTTAAAACAGGAGCCGTCGTCTTCCATTGTAGTTTTCGTCGGATTTATTTAGTATGGTTTTAGTATGGAAACCGGATAGGCTTATCAGAATCAAATATTGATCGTTTTCACCTGACGTCACGGCGGCCATATTAGGGTACAAAAACAATGAAACGGTGTTGGTGTACCGAAAAAATCCTTAAGAATTGAACTGGTTTCTCGTGTCTTTTTCTTTTTCCAAAAAATATACCTTGATGATCTGTTTTTGCTTATATTATTTTTAAACTATTCCTCAAATTAATAAAGCACATTACCAAAATTAATTATTCTTCGGTACGTACTGTCGGTGTTAATATTGATCGGGCGTGAGCTCAAGATATCTACTCTTATTTTTTTTCCCTTTATTACCAGAGTGGTTCGAATTCATCAAGTAGCTAATCTGTAACTTATTGTATATCTCTCTTTGTTGTTGTTTTGCAGGCGAAAGCGAGCTGGCATCACTCCAATCAAGTTTGACCTTCCACCCGAAACCAAATCAGCTAAAAAATCCAAGTCAAACACCATCTCAGTGTACACGCCGCCAGGACGACGCTCGGGAGCCTCAAACGGCGTACTCAAAGGTCAGAGCATGCCCGAGGGAAACAGAGGTCGAGGAGGCTTTCGTGGACGGAACCGTGGCCGTGGACAAGGCTGGAGAGGAGGACGATATTAGATCGATCACTTGTTCTTGGGCGATTGTTTTACTTTGTTAATACGCCACTTTAGAAATGAGAGGGGAACTGGAGCCGAGATGTGTCCCCGCAATTGTTTCTGGGATTGTTACTGGGGACGCGCCGGTCAGCTATTGACCAATCGCAACAGTCCCAGAAGTCCTTGCGAAGTTAACTCGGCTCAGTTTCCTTCTCGTTTCTTAACCCTCTAAGTCCCAATATCCACATACAAATTCTCCAAACTGATCTCCATACATTTTCTTACAGAATTAGTTGAGAGAATGTGTTCAAAGACCAAAGCATTTTCCCATTGTTGATCATTTGATTAATTCTTATAGCCTTTTCTCTTGAATATGTATCGATGTGGTTAGGAGAAAATTCATGTTGGTCAGTCACTCTTGGGACATAAAGGGTTTGGTGGCGAATAGGGAACGGTCAACTCTCAGACAAGTGAAGAACTGTGTACAGAAACCTAACATTTGGGTTATTTATGGAGTAGGCTGTTATAAATTATCATACGTTTCTTTTCTAACTTCCATTAATCTCCTTCCATCTGCCGTACGGCAGATACAATATTATAGAAATTGCTTTACAGTGATCTGTCTTTTAACTTGAAAGTGCTGCAATAATTACCAGTCATTTAAGAGGAAATTAATGTCTTTACTGTGAAAAGAAATGATAATGTTATCCGCCAGTAAAGAAACTGTTTGCGAGCCCCTGCCGTGGTAGTCGTACTAGTGACTCACTCACACCAAAGCTAAAACAAGCTTAAAAACTGCTTGGTTGGACTCCCTTTAAAAATGATTTTTTTAGTTTCTAAGTTGCTCACTTACGTTTCGTGATTTCACATGCAATACAACCAAAGTACAAGTTAGAGCTACGTAAACCATATAGTCTCACAAAATTAATCGTCATTTTCTTGAATCTTACACTCCTTACAATTCGGGACTAATTTGCAAATATGATATTGAAAATTTTTTTTTTTCCCTTCTTCAAAGGTTGTGTGCGTTACGTTTATCCTGGCTTACTCCAGGTGTGAAAGGGCTCATCCTTGGGGTAAAAACCTGTGAAACTCACGCATGACGTAGAACAATTAATACAAACAAGCCATCGAGAAGTCAACACCATAGAACCAAGGAAAATAATAGCTAGGAAACAAAGAAAAACTTCACAGGTTTTAACACCGAGGTAAACCCTCAACTTGTTTTAACTGCACATGTTTTGTTGCTGTGAATATGGCGTAGGAGTATTCACATCAGGTTAGCTCACTGACGTTGGAATTGTTATCTCGTTCACACCAACGTACTGTGACAAGAGTAACAAGCCGAAAGAGTAACTGTTGGCTAGTTTTTAAGAAAACCTCAGTTTTTCTTAATTGTTTTAGCGTTGGCGTGACTGAAGCAATTGACAAAGCCTCTCAGCTGGAGGAGGCGAGCTCTGTGCTCAGTCTTTTTAATTGTTTTTAAGGCGAGGGATAATTTCCCATTTTGCTATGAAAGCAAGTTTGTCTTGCATACACGAACGCACTGAAAAACGAAGTTGGCGTTCATTTTTTAAGTAACAACAGTTTGTATTTCCTGTTGCCTTCTACAAACCGTCGATTTGCCAGTGTGGTAATAAAATGGCTACATTTTTATTTAGGCCTCTTGTTGAACATTTCTACCTCCCATCTCTACATTAAAGTACATAATCTGCATGGGACCAGGCTCCGCATTGGGGAAAAAGGGAAAAAAAAGGGGCCGTGGGCGAAAAACCGAGGCGAAAGGGTGACGCCGCCCTTTCCCCCCTACCCAGGTCACCGCTCGGCTCGCGATATTTTTTCTATTTGACCCCGTTTTTTGCCTTTTTCCCCTACTGCGGAGTTTGATCCCACGCTACATTCATGCTTCCCATTGTGATTACACTGTGCCTTTTTTCTTCAATTTGTATAATAGGCCATTTCCGAGTTTCCACAGCCCATTTTTTTCTGAAGCTTCCCAAACGGAATGGCGCGAATCATTTCATTTTCCGACCGGAATCTCCTGTTTTCCCTTGTCAATGTTAAGTACCCTGGATCTCTTGTAGATCGTTCCCACGTATAAACGCAGCGTTTTTGTTTGCCGCCCTGAGTTTAAATTGTTAATATTTAATCATCGTATACTCTTTGAGGTCGCCCTTCGCACGACGCAAGATTTTGAACTAGATGAGTTTCATGATTTTTTTATCATAATATTCAGGGGCGTAGCTATCTGTACGCACGTGAGGACTTGAAAAAGTCAAGGTAAGAAAATGGAATGACATAAAACAAGATCAGTAATATCAAAAAGCGAATAATAAAAAAAATTTAAAAAAGTACATTTTTTCTCAAATCATTTAATTCTGTTCGTGCCTTTTAAGTATCTATATTGTTTCTGAAACATCAGACTTTTTTTACACCCGAAGATGGGTCTCCAGAGAAGCGACGGAATTTATTGGTAAACTGAATCTTGAATAATATACATGTAGAAAATTGTGCGTACCTCTGAAAAGATCTTGGCTACACCCCTTATATTTTATCTAACATTGAACGTATAGCGCGAGTTCTTTCGGTGTGCTCTTGAGTCTTGAGTCAGCAACAGCTAGTCGTACAAATCTCTTAAAAATCATAACTTTGATTCTTTATGTTGCATGACCCTTCAATATGATGTTTTTTTCTTCTACTGCTTCTTTGAAGGCACCATTAAACTGAGAAATACAAGAGGGTTTCGAGAAGCTACTAAAATTTAAAGAATAAAAAAAAGCCTTTGTAAAATCGGTTCTTTTTCTTTTTTTCCCCATCATATGCATGACAAAAAAATCTTTTTAGAGGCCCTTAACCAAAAACGAGAGAGAGAGAGAAAAAAAAATTAATTTTCTAGCGAAAATCGTATGCCGCTAATTTACTGTTGCCCACGTTTTCCTATTTCAATTTAAGTTGAATTAGCGAATGGTAAATTAATTTCTCGTTATATTTAAGTTGCTTGGCACATTTTGAAATCCGTGTTCGCACAAACTGAGTTCTCGTATTTTTCACCCAATTTAAGCCCGTTGTTGTGGTTATAGTTGGCAAAAACATACTTTTTTCAATTAGCGAAAACAATAGATGTTTACAATATATTTGAGGAAATCAGTAATTGGTTACTGGAAATTAGTAATTGGAAATTTCTAGCTTAGCCAGAAATACAACGAAAACAAGATAAATTTCACTTGTAGAAATCTTTTAATGGCTTATCCAAACAGCTGGAAATGTACATATTAAACAAACAGGTCGGTTAAAATTTCAGGACTTTGTTTCTTGTTTGAATTATTTTCATTTTCCGATGTTTCGCCTCGCGGACTTTGATAATAATCACATGAAATCAGTCCCTATGTGGGACATAAGAGTGTCTTCCAAAAAAAGTCCACATTTCGTTGGCGATATAGTGAACGAGTTTAAGGGTAGTTTCTATTTTTATAGCATTAAAAAAAATGTAGATATTCTTCGGTGAGTGCTACAAAAAAAATCAGAATTCTGTCTCCTAAACCGGCCTGTTCATCTTGGTCACTGGCCTTTCATACAGAGGAAACAGCTTTGATAACTTTGTTAACGACAATTAAATATTCTGCCAAACAAAGACTTTTTTACGTTCTTTAAACAAAGGTAGGCTAGTCTCCTGATAGTAGTTCTTCAGCATATGGAGTAGCTTTTCGGGGCCCATCGCTAATATTACAAAATTAAGGAAACTCAGTGAAACAATCAACTCGAGTTTGGCCGCATGTTTAATTGGTAACATTATTTGATTGTTTTCGTTCTTACTTGGGCCCGTACCAAGCAATTACTTGCCAGGTTGGTTGCCAGGCCTTGTCACCTTCGTTTCAGCAAGCATGTTTTCATTTCAAAGGAGTGAAATTGAGTGTTTTTAGTTATTTATATACAGATTTTGCCGTTGTTAATATTTAAACAGCCCTTAATTCTATTGGCCTTGCAATGATCCACAGCTAACACTGATTAGGGCATCACCGTTCTTGTCCGTCTTCTTTTAAGATCTTTCCTTAATTGAGTGTTAAAGTTATCTGACTTGGTCAGGAGATGTTTTAGTCAATCCTTTGCAGCCCTTTTTTCACTTCTTGAAGAAGCATTGCTGTTGACTCCATTTTGGAAACTAATCGAAAAATCTGTGCACAGCTTATAACAGGAGCGAACCAAATACGTTGTTAATAATTCGGATATAGTGACTGAACAACATATTTACTTGGTTCTTTAGTCTGTCTGAATCACATCACGAGAAACTCATTCTCAAGCACTAGTCTCTGCATTTAAGAGTACTCACTGCACGATGTCATCAAATCTCGCTTTAACAACAACAGCCAACTGTTCTAACGTACCAGGAAATGTTCCATGCCTCGCACCTCCACCTCCTGAAAGTCTCTTGTCTCTTTTGTCTTTAAGGACAAGTCTCAATCCGATTTTTACTATCGTGGAGTTTACAACCCTCTCGGCGGCGTTCCTCGGCAATCTTTTGATTGTCTTGACAATCATGTCCAACAAGAAAATGCTTAGTATGGCTCATCTCTTCCTTCTTAACGTAGCTGTTGCAGATTTTCTTTTTTCCGCATTGAATATTGCAGGACATGCGACGGAGAACTCTCTTGATGAAGTAACGTTAAAAGAGACATTCTGCACGTTATACAGACCTATAATCGGTGTACGCTTTGCAGCCTACGCTATTTCCATGTTTTGTTTGGCGGCGTTAAGCGTGGAACGTTGGTATGTCGTATGCTCGCCGATAAGCGCGCAGTTTTCAAGCGCTGGCCTTTTAAGGAAGCTGAAATTCTCGTCTTTAGCATTGATATGGATAATTACCTTAGCTATCTCAATACCTATTGGATTTTGCAAAGTTACAGTCACAAAGACCTTTGCTATCCTACTTGCACTCGTCTTGCACGTAATTCCGCTCACGATTATTATAACAGTGAACACAAGGATGGTCTTGTCGCTCAAACGCAACGCGGCGTTTAATGTCAGCGCCGTCAACGAGGAAACAAGAGAAAAAATTCGCAAGTTACTAATAAGCATGATCCTGAGCGTCATTATATTTTGGAGTCCTTATCATGGTTTCTTTCTTTATTTTGTGTTCGCAAAACCACCTTCGTCCCCAAGCGCAGGTGTTAAGCTGGAGCTGGCATTCAGAGCTGGAAATATCTGGACATACTTCAACCCACTTTTTAACGCCCTTCTGTATTATATCTTCTCCAAGGAGTTTAGAAGTGGATTAGCCAGCTTATTTTTACTGTGCTCGTGCGATCGCAGGTCAGAGGAACAGAATGCTGTTAATGATTTGGCAAGATCTGGGCAGGAATTAGTTCGATTCAGTACAATAAACGAAGCATTCTCGAACCCAGAAGTACTTCCGGCGAGGTCACCTGCGAAAGAGTGACTTTTAATGAAAAATACTCAGGACCACTGAGTAGTACCCATCTTTTTTAAGATGTAGGAAAGATATCAACTGTATTGCAAAAAACAGAGATTAGATCAGTGACAGATGTCTTAAGCTTTGATTCTTGATCTGCTGTCACCCCTGGGCTCGATCAACTCTCCCGGGCCCCAGTAAGTATCAATAATCAACTCCGGTCGCCTATCAGCGGCTTAGGTTCGCACTTTAGGGTTTTAACAACTTTAAAGTTAAAGTCTATTAGCAAGGAATGTACATGTTGTGGCTCAATTTTATCCTTGGTTTAAATTTGGCTGACCGCCGCCCGGTTAGCTCAGTTGGAAAAGCGCCGGTCTGCCGAGCGGCAGGCCGCTGGTTCAAGTCCCGGCCGGACCCACATTTAGTTTCTTTAAATAACTGAGGAGAAAGTGCTGCCTTTTTTAAAGACATCTGCAAACGGTTAGACTTTCTAGTCTTCTCGGATAAGGACGATAAACCGTAGGCCCCGTCTCACAACCCTTGCATATATAAATTATGTGGGACGTTATAGAACCCACACACTGTTCGTAAAGAACAGGGGACGTAGTCCCCGGTGTGGTGGTCTAGCTCTCATGGGGGGAGCGACTGTTACAGGCCAGCAGTAATTGGCGTCATGCTGTTGAGGTGACCCTGCCAATAATTGGCGAATCTAATAACATAAAATAAACAATAATTTTATTTTCCTTTATTTCAAACTCATCATATATTACCATACCCCAAAACAAGGGAAAATAAAAGTTTAAACCAATGATAAAATTGAACCACAACATACATCTCGGAAACATGAAATGCTAAATTGTTTACATTGCTGTCTATTCTCTCTACAAGTTCTGTCCCTCACCAAAAAAAAAGGAAATAGTAATAAATGTGCTTAAGTTATTGTTTTGAAATGTTCCTGGATGACTGAATATTCCAAAGACAATTCGAAATAATAACTTTTGCAAAATTTGGGGGCAAAAAGAGTGTATTGCGAGGGATTCGAAAATAGTTAATGTATATAATGAACAGTAGACGATAATTAAACTTGATCACAACAATTAAATTTGACCACGTGGAACAAATTCACTATTTCTGCTGGAGACGTGATCATAAATATCTCCCAAAAATTCAGACTGGAGAGTATATAGAGAAAGTTGATCCTTAGTTTGTAGGTGAAGGCTGCAGAGCCGCAGTAGTAAGAGGATAAAATAAC